TATTTAAAAAAATTCATTTATGCAATGTGAATTTTGTTGAATTATACATACTAAGATAAGAGTGTCAAATTTAAAAAAAAAATTTTTTCTGTTGAAATCTATTTATTTTTTGCAAAAATTTATTCCTAGAGTTAGTTCTATCATGATAATTAAAGTTCATCATATTAATGGATTCTCAATTTTAATGCGAAATCAATCTAAATTTTTTAAATTTTTATTAATAAAATTTGCTTCATTTAATAATAATGAGTAACTTAATCTGAATTTAAACTAATTACAATATATATTAGTTAAATAATTAAAAATACCTACAAAACAATATTGAATAAGGATTAGAAAATCTTATGGAATTGAAACTATTCTTGTGCACAACAACACTGAATGAAAAAGAATTTTAATATGAATTTTGATTTAGTTAGAGTTTTAAAGCTAAATAATCATAGCATGTTATTTTTGAAAATAGAGAATTGCTTAAAATCATCGATAGTTAGAAATGCATATTAATATCAATTAGTCTATAGTTAAAAATAAAATGAAGATATTAGAAAAATAATTTAATTTAATGATATTACTCATTTTAATAATCATCAGTTATTTCTACCAAAAGCAAAGAATATCATTTCAAATATTCTCACTAATGGTTAAAACATAAGACCATTAAGCAATAAAGATCCAAACAAATATTGATCAAGTTATAAATTCAATCTCTTTATTTCCTTAAATAAATTCTTACTTTATTGCTCATTATAAATCTTGTTTCAAACATCAAATAGATTCCATATATTACAATGATAAATCCAGATAAACATTTCTCCCATATAAGCCTATACCTCAGGAATATTAGAATTAATATTAAAGGTATAGATGCACCTACAATTATGATAGCACCTTCTGTAAAAATATGGAATGAATTTATATACAAAGCAAAGATATCTCTTTTTTGTTTAAGACCCCTAGAATCTTAAATATTAGTATTATTATGAAAATAAGTCCCCAAGTTATCCAAACAACCAGTTCTTGTAGGCTTAAAACCATAAAGATGCATATTGTTGCAAATGTAAATCCAAAAAAAATCAACTACAGAAGTAACACTACATAATTTAAAGGATCCTACAATCAAATCTTTAATATTACCTTTCTTGCAAAGTTTCCTCCAAAATATAACATCATTTACAATATTATTGAAACAAATAAAGAAACATAAAATAACCAAGATGGGGTCAAACAACTATAAAATTCAAAACCTTCTTCAAAATCTTATAAACAATTAAGACGAACAAGCCAAGAACCCATACCTGTGTAAAATCCTAAAGCCATCATTCCCAAATTAAATAAGAATTCGATTGCTAAAAAAGTGTACATATTCTAAATAAACTCAGACCTTATATTAGAACTCTAAAACTGTCCTTGATCTAAGAAAATATTAAATTTAAAAACAGTTAAAGAAATTAAGTTCCTAAGTTTATTCACCTTATGTTTCAAAAGAATAAGGATTGTAATATTATTGTTAAGCATTTAACAAATATAAGTTCTAGTTATTGTTCATCTCCATAAAGATAATTTTAATATTAAGAAAACTTTATATATCATCAATGTATGAAATATCAGAAAATAATTTATTATTAAAACTATTCCATATTTTTCTTTGAATTTTATTTTTATTTCAAGAAATTATTTTAAATATTATAATTATGCATTATAATAAATAATTTCTTACTTTTATTTTATGATTCCTGAATCTAAATCTAAATTCAAAATTGCTTTTCATTCACAATATTTAAGTGAATGACTATTATAGGGTGATTTTTCATAACCATATTTTATTTGAAAATTAGATCTTTTTTAATTTTAAATTCTACAAATCATCAAATTTAGGTTATTGAATAGTATTATTAACAAGTTTTTAATGAAGAGAGATAATAAATAACTTTGGTATCCTTGATAATTTTATAATTTTATTAAAACAAAATTATTTAACTTGAAGGAGATTAAATGTTGTGCTCTTCCAAAAAATTAAAACATTTTTATTTATTGTTTATTTAATTATTCACTTTTTAAATAAATATTATCCTTCATTTAACTACATACAAAGAGATTTAGGTTAAAAGTTATAGATTTGTAATTAAATTTTTAAAATAACCAGATAATTTTCAATTATTAATACACAATAAGTGAGATTTTGAAATTATATATCTATACTAATAGGAAACAAGAAAATACATTACTTGAAATATANTCCAAATTAAGTATCAATTCCCAACAATAATAATACTAAAAAGAACAAAATACACCATAAATTTGGCATTGGCATCTAAGCTAAAATAGCTGGATATAAAACAAATGCCAAATCTGGACCAGATAACTAATTATCTTTATCATAAATACTGGTAATTCTTAAATTTACACATTATATTTAAAACTAACATGTCCAATATAACTGAATACGACTAAACCAGCTAACATTCCACATAATGCAGTTAATAATGGTATAGCAAAAGAAAAAATAGGTAAATTATCATCCTTCTTTCTGTAACTTCCATATAATGTAAGAATTGCTTATCCAACTGACATTTAAAATATGACTTAATTAGCAGCATCTACCCAAACTTAAGGATTAAATAATTTAATATAGTCTGGTTTAAATAAATAATAAATTCCTTCACTTGAACCTTCTAACATTAAACCCCTTATTAATAGAATCATTAATAAAACATAAGGTGATGTAGCTGTTACCATCGCTATTTTTCCCGAAGTCTCCACTCCTTCTCTATTAATATAATCATCAATACTTACTTTATACAAAAATATACAATTATTAATGATACTATATATGCTATAAATAAACTCCATATTATATTATCTAATATATTTATATTTCAATTACTTAAATCTGTTATTGAGCTTGAAATCTAAACTATAGAATCATAAAAATAATCTCTTGAAAATGGCTTGTTTTCTACCATTATGCTCGCCATCCATGGTATTGGGTATTTAAATGATTCCCACAAATATCTTAAAGAATATGCCATAATTAGATTCTATTTATTTATTTATTCCATATTTACATAATACGATGATATATATGCACAAATTACTATTCCAACATATCCGAATCCTCTAAACTTAGGTTTCTCTAAATTCAACAAGTGAGCCATTCCAATTCCTTTACATTGTCCTAATCCTACTTCTATAAAAAATAATGGGATAGCCAAAGTAAAAACCAAAAGAAAGTATGGAATTAAAAATGTACCTCCTCCATTCTTAAATACAACTTAAATAATTAGTATAATCCTATTCTTACGATATGGGAATCTCCAAACACTTCCAAACCCTGCCGCAAATCCTAATGATGTAAGCATAAAAGTCCATGAACTTGAAAATTTCATTCGGGTTTCTTAATATCCTTCTAAGCTTTGGCTAGATGGTTACATTATTTTTAAGTATTAAAATTATTTTTATGTTATTTCATTCAATTTAAATATGTATCGTTTCCAAAAGTTTACATAATATTATTTAATATTTTTAGTTATTATATAATCTTACAAAACATTCAATCTCTCCATGTTTTCTAATAATTTTACAAATTTATTTATTACTTTTAAAACTAATTAGATAAATATTAAGCTTTGAAATTCATCATTATAATCCAATATTTATTATATCCATAAACAAATTAAACAAAAAAAGTGTATCATCAATAAAATTTCATATTAATTATTAGTAATATACTAATTTAAATATAAGTCCACTAATACAAACAATTATCGATAGATGAAAATTGCAAGTCATTTTCATCTGAATTTTGAACAAATGGTACCTCATGTATATCAATTGTGCTACTTTTGATACATATGATGTAACAAGAATTGAAATTTGTGATTATTTGCCAGTAATGCATGATAGCAAGTCAATTATTATGTTCTAATTTGCAAATCCTTTAATTTTTATTAGTCCTTAAGACCCTAAAATCTGTTTTACGAAGCAAACTATACCAATATATATTTATGTCCAGATCGAAATTTCTTAATAGATTTTTTATTCTTTTGATTGCCATGATATTAAATGTGATTCCAGATGATATTAGAAATCTGCCGATTTCTGAAACCATTAAAATTAAAGAACTGATTCTGAACTTATTCTAAGAGCGGCAATTTTTCAATAAATTCTCTATAAATCAAGGTTTTTTCTTAGAGGATGATTCTTAATTAAATTATAATTTAACAAAAGTAGTTATTCATCACAATCTCATTATTAAGATTTAGCATTAAATAATAATGCACCAGTCAATATTAACAAATTAGCTCTTATTTTCTATAATATTTTATAATATTTTTAATAATTTTGTATACTCCAAAATTAAAGATAACTCCTAAAATAATAAATTGTATTTTGCAATAATTCCTATGCAATTTATCAATGCTTTAAGATATATTTTTTTTTTTCTCTTAAAAGATTACAATTCATTTAATTGACAATTATAATATATTTTTTATTGTTTTATCCTCTTTTTTATAACAAAAATGTGAAAATTTTAATACTGTTTGTTAGTTTCTTTGTTTATTGTTTCGTATTATATTCCTATTTAATCTATTTCAAAACTTCTTTAAGTAAAATTCTTCAATAAAGCCAAATTGTTATTCCATCTTCTTAACTACTGCAATTATTAAAATTTTTCTCATCTACTATAAAAACCATATTTACTATTTTCAATATAATTGTAATAATAATTATTAATTTAATATCTATTAGAATGGAAAGTGAATTTATCATTTCCAAAAAAGAGTCTCAAATATTCCCCGATATCATTGATAATTGCTCTGACTTTCCTGCTGTTATAAAGAAAGCTGAATTGTATCGAGTATATAATTAATATTAGTTAGGATACAGAATTTATAAGGAATCTCAATAAAATTCAAAAAAATGCAATTGCTTTAAGTTTATAAAGATCATATTCAATATAAATTGTGTGATAAACTAAATGATGACTGATGTGTAGCCTCAAATTATTTATGGATGATTTTTATAACTTGCTATTCCTTGGTAAATATTAGTAGTATTGGTTTTTTTCCTTATTTATAAAGTTAAGGAGATGAATGTGAAAAACATCTAAATTTTGATGAAAATTTTACTATGCAGTTGAGGTTAATCATTTCTTTAATCGTTTATAAGCATGGAACTGGAACTTTTTATACATAAATAGCAAAAGCGCAATTACAATTAAAACTTTAAATATGTTATACTTTCTCTTCTGAATAAAAATTCTGGCAGATGTATTAAAAATGATATAGAGTAAAAAGTTCTTTTATTATACTTTGTAGGAATTAAAATCAAAAATATTGTTATAAATTTTAAATAAGAAGCCCCATCTTTTGAATTTTTATCTAGCTTTTTAGAGCAAATATATACAATTAATTGTTGATGATAACCTAATTTATTATATTAAAAATAAGATATGAATTAATTTAAAAAGATGTTAATGGAGATTAAATATAAATAATTTTTAATGTTTGCTTTACGTTGATCTCAATGATAACTTTTAAGCTAATTTCCTGATCATAAAGAAATTCAAATTTAAATAGAGTAATATTAATATGTATCATTTTGTAAATAATTCATAGCATTATATATATTATATTATGTATGTGTGTAGTAGTTGTAGAGGAATATGTATTATCCTAAGATTAAAATGTAAAAAAAACTAATAATAAAATCTAAAGAGTAGCAAATTAATTGTTATTTCATTATAAAATAATATAAATATTTATATAATGAGTTCCTAATTATTATTTTTTGTTTTGTAAAATATTAATCAAATTAAAAATAATAATAAAATTAATTAATTTGATTCAATAAAAAGTCTAGATTAAAATTAAACAGCAACAATTAACTTCATATTGCTTTTAAAATAAAAGGATGAAAAATTATAAGAAAATAATAAAAAGAAAACTTAAATAAGAAGTTTTAACTAAATAATTATTTTTCAAATATTTATATAATTTTTTTCAAAATAGGGATCCCACTTATTTGTTTCATTATCTTTGAAAATTGATTCACCAATTGTAAATAGATGAAAGTCTTCATCATTCAAAATATGGTATTAATTCTATGGCTTTATAAAGATATATTTTTGATTGTCATTTAATGCAACTTTTTTACGGATTGATGAATTCTCATTTAGTTCAATAGAATCTACCTGTGATACATCATGAATTTAAATATGTTCTATTGGTTCATTCCTTTAAATATATTCAATATTTGATTAATCTTAAGCTTTAGGAAATTATTATAATTTAATTCCTACTTGATGAGCCTATCTAATTTAACTTTAAGTGTAAGTTGATTGAATTAAGAATTATAATTTGGCTTAAGTATAAATAATGTTTGCCATATTTAGTTTTTTTCTGGCTACTCTTTAAATTTCATCATAATATTTCAAAAATGCAATCTTATCAATAGATATTTCATTTTATATAACATCTATAATTTTACCATACCAATTAGATTTAAACTTTATATTAACTATCTCTGGATAATACATTGATATAATCTTTTAAACACTTTCTTTTTCTAATTTTTACTCATTTACCAATAATATTATATGTGAAAAGACTAATATAATTGAAACAATAGAGCCTATATCTGCAAGAACTTCTGAAAATTTAGGATATTCAATAAACTACTCTTATGATATTTCACTTAAGCTATATGCTAATACCAAAAATGTGGGCCTGTGAAATATCGAAGAAAAACTCTAAGTATCAATAGATTATGAAATGATGACTATGTCAACTGGGAATTCAGAATAACTTTAAGAGGGAAATAAGAATCCATCATCAATATTAGTCTTAGAAATTCTGATTTGATTCTACAAATATATTGTTGTATCATTATTAAACATTGTTAAAAATTACTTTTTAACAGTTTCAAGTTTCATTTTTTTTGGATTATATTCTTTAACATAATTATTCATTAAAATTGCATGACTTTATTATTTCATATATATATCTACTAAAGTTTAGTTTGCACATTATTATCCTTCTTATAAATATTCTTTTATGCAAGTACCAAAAGATAATATATAATCTATTTGAGGATTGTTAATTGAATTTTCTAAATTCAAATTCAAATCTAAATCTTAAAGTATTATTTCAGTATTGTTATATCTACTCGATTTTGTATTGAATTAAAATGACTTAGACTCAACCAATTATTGATTTGAAAATTTTGAAAGGATTGGCTGTAGTATTATATTTTGAGGATCAAAAGGATCTAATTCATCTTTTCTATAATTTTTTCTGGCAAAAATGGAAGAAATGGAATCTTCAATCTTAAAATACTTTGAACTTTATGAAGTCTATATGCTAGTTATTTTGGGCAACAAATTATTTCCTTACCACTATAAAATTTGATAACAGAAGTAAGCCAAACAAGAACCATACAAGAATAAAGTCGCAATCCCACCAATAATTGATTTGTACTCTGGATTCATATCTATTACGCTTGGCCGAAATATAACTCCAAATCTATCTAAAGATTTGATTCCTTTAGCTAAACTTTTAAACATTTATTTATTAATTAAAATTTTAAAATTTTAACCACATTTTAAATAGCACATCATTTTACTCAAAAATATGTTTTTGTGAAATTTTTAGATCTAATCTCAATTAAAAAATGAATTGTATCAAATTGAAGCTCATTAGAAAAAACTTATAAAAATAATTCAACCAAAAATAAGTAATATTTAACTATAATTTATTTTAAAAAAACATTTTTCACTTCCATTTTTCTTGTTCATATTCAAATATTACTTGAATTTACAATAATATATCTTAATCATAGCCTTATATCTAAAAATACTAATTTATTTTTAATTTTGATCTACTTATTTATAAGTTTAATATTTTAAGTTAAAATCTATTAAATATTTGTCTATTTCTATTGTATTTTCTATCAGACTAAAATTTTTTCCAGAATAGTTTTCTAAATTGTCAAGTTAATAATACTTTTTTACAAACCAACATAATCTTGAAAAATATTATATTATACTTTTATTTTTTTGTTATTATTTCAAATTCCATCCATTTCGTGACTATTATTTGTACCATTATATTTTGATTATGAGACGCTTTAACAATAAGATTTTAGAATTAATAAATAAATAAAGCATTAGTATATTGTGTATAGTTATCAATATGTAATTAATAATTTTTTTAACATTATTAAGTTTAAGTGAGAAGAATGAAGAGAATGATCACAGGCTTAAATGGGCTTGATAAAAATAGCACTAAAGGGAATATTAATTAGTAAAAAGATTAAAAGAATCCTAATAAAGTTATTTAAAATGCGATCAATGATACTTAAAAGAATCAGCAAAATACAAATTTATAGAAGTGAATTAATGAATAAATACATAATTATAGTCCAGAATTACAATTATTTTATATCCATATTTTCCTAACTCAATGTTAATAGAATCTCTTATGAATCAAAATAAAATAAAACTCACTTGAAAGGTTTCACATGTAATCAGAAATGAAATAAATTGATATAATACTTAGATAGATTTTTGTGAACATGGATTAAAACTAAGAATCAATATTTACTAAGAAAATCGATATAAAAAATTAATATGAACTAGATACTTAACCAGATATTCAAAAAAGATATCTAAGACTTTCCTTTGAAAGTTTAAACATTTATTTTAAATAAAGGGCTCATATATCTATATGTATTTCTTTGACAATATATTTCTTTATATCATCTTCACACACTTATTGATAACTGGATCATATCAATATGTTTATTATTCATACCAATAATAACTTTAGATTAGCTACAGTTTTCAATTTTTTTTCTTTTTAATATTGAAAAGTTTTTAATACTTTACATAAATTTCTATTATTTCTACATTCAAATGATTGTTTTTTATAATCTAAAAATTTCTTTACTCTTATCAATAATAGAAAAAAGTAAATAAAAAAATAATGAAGATACTAAATCATTTCAATTAAATTAATAAACTAAAAAAATCGATTATAGAAAATATATAAAAATTTCATTAGTTTTATCTAATATTTAAAATAAATAAAACTTTTCTAAAATACTTTTTCAATTGCAATTTCAGTAATGATTGATTATTATTCTTTTAATAAAATTCTGTTTTTTTACAAAAGATGTATTTTACAAGTGTCTATTCAAATTCATAATGTTAATTATAGGTTGATCTCGATTGATTGTTCTAAAATTAAGTTTACTTTGATTTTGAAAGTAGAGGGTGAGTGTATTAATAATTTATATCTTTCCACAAAAACTGTAATTCTTAAATCGAAGCAAAATAATTACGAAACTAAATCAATACAAGTTGAATTATTTTCAAAGTTATCAAAACATGGGTTGAGCAAATATTTAATTCACCTTTATAGCATATCCTTAAATTAAAATCTTTTAAAATAGATAATATTTTGATAATAAAGATTCTCATTTTAATGTTTCTATGTTTATGTGTAAAAATTGGAGAAGTACATGGTTAAATAATTTCTTAAATTTAAAAATTTAGTTGTATCTATTCAAAAATGAACTCACTAATGCTACTATTATCACAATTAGAATTATATTGTTGCAGTCATTTTAAAAAATTAATATAAAATTTAAACATACTAGTATTAAAAATTGACAGAATAAGTTGATGATTAAAAAGGATTTTTAAAATTTTTTAGTTCAATTATTGCTAAATGGCTATATTATAAAGGTATTTGATGGCTGTGGAATAATTTGATTAAGCTAGTTTAATCAATTCACTACATATAAATAGTTACCTCACAAAAAGTTGGATTTTATTATGTAATTATAGGCATGAGTCTCATAAACATAATAATTTAATAAAGCATTATTTTGATAATTTATTTAGATTAATCCATGTTCTAATCTGTTTGCCTGAATACTTCTTTGAGTGCAAATAACAAAAAAGTCCTATATCTCAAGAATTTCCTAGTGTAAAGCTTGAATTATGAGAAATATCATGGAAATTCTTCCTTAATATGATGCAGGTTTTTATTTAGCTTTTATAGTTAATTATATTTTTATTACGAATTCAAATGTATCAATAAATCGGAAAATGATTTATTTTCTTAAGATAAGCAAAATTCTGTTGATTGATTAGATAGTTAGTCAACTGATCATACATATTTTTAGCCAGAAACCTTATATTTAGAATCTAGAGGCATTACTTAAGGACACATAAGTTCAACATTAAGACCCTTGAGTACTTAGATAAAAATCAGAACCAATTAAAATTTTTTAGCATTAATATACCCATCATATCCAGACAAGAATATCCTGAAAAGATGTAATTTTTCATTTAATTCTTAAGAATGTTAATAAATTTATGGATTGTGATACATTGTAATCTAAGAAATTACTTTAATTTTAACAGACCCAATAATAATCTTACGATCCAGCTGTTGTTTTAGATTAGATGAGTATGAAAACTAATAATTATTTTTATCCTTAATATATTTCTATTTATAAGAATAATTTACTTACTAACCCAATTTGAGATTCTGGAAATATTTTAGTTTCATATAAGTGATAAATTATAGAATTAAGTATAATTATAATTCTGTTTATAAAGTCTTTAGAATTAAGATGAAACTAACTAAGGACCAAATATTCATTGTTTGAGCATATAATAAAGAAGAAAACTGTTAAACGCTATCAAATAATGTAAATTAAATTAATAAATAAAAAAATAATAGTCTATCTATTAGTTTATTTATAAAATAATATATTTACCTAATTTTACTATTATGAAAGGATCATAACAAAATCTGCTGGGTATGTTTCATAGCAATTAATTCTGAACCAAAAAAGAATAAACAGATTTAATTTATTCTAAAATCATTAGAAATCATGATAATACATATTTTCTATTTTTAAGAAAATTAAATAGGAATGAATGATTTTTATTTTTATCATAATATATTTCTCTGATTATTATAATCAATAAAATTCAAACTTTCTGATTATTTTATCAATTTACCAATAAATCATATAGCTTTTGATTTTAGAGATCAACTATTTAATAAATTTAAAATTAAGTTGAAGTTGCATATAATTTAATTTAAGATTATAATGGTATAATGCTTTCTAAAATCAACACCAATTTAACAATATTAGATTTTTTATGATTACATTTAGATGTAATAGTTTTATAGTCTGGATAACTACTTTGTAAAATTAAAATGGAAAAATTTAGATCTTCTGTGAAACAGGGCCAGGTGACTGTTATAGTCAGTTTTTTTATATCCTTAGCTACTATCACAGTTTGATCAAAATCTGGCTCTAAAGATATAGCAAGTTCAGATATTTGAATATTTTTATTAAAATTCTAATCATGTGAATATGAGGAGGATTTAATATAATTAGTTGCAATAAATGAAGAAAACGTTATGAAATCAATAATAGAGGAACTGCAATCCTTTGCAACTCCATAAAAGAGTTAAAAGTTTCTAATTCCCCAAGATTTATTATCTGGAGTTCCATTTAATGTTGATGTCATCATCAAATTGATTGATGGCAAAGAATGTAGAAATTCAAAATCAAAATTAATTATATAGATGTCTAAATTTGTTGATCCACAATTAGTTACTACTCCAGTTTTTCCAAATTACATTTAATGAACTTGAATATCATTTGCAAATACTTAAAACCATTCATTATCCCAACTTTTAATTTTCCAAAATTCAAATTAAACTCTAATTTTTTTATGTCTAGGAAGTTCCATCTACAAATTAATTGATGCATCATTTGAGAATAAATTATATCCTCCTACAATATCAATAACACCACATTTTAAAAATGGTGATTAATTATTATATGTATTTAAAATAGACCATCCATCTTAAGTTATAAAATCTTATGAATTAAAATATTATTTTTAAGCTAAGATCCATTTCACTATAATAATGATAAAATTATACCATCTACACATTCAAAATTATGTAAAATATATCCGTCTTTACAAATTGAACATTCATTCATTTTTGGACCTGAACAAAAGAGACAGGTTTTATAACATTTCGCTAAATATAATCTAAATGCTCTTAAACCCCAAGATCCATTTAAAGTAGCAATATTAGATTTCATGCTTATTAGCATTTAATTTAAAGTATGAGAATAGTTAGAGTAAATGTTTAGTAACATTTCCCCACCATTATTACCACACAATTATGTTACTTCTGTTTAACCAATAAGATTTGATTAGTAAACAATCTAATCATCTATTTCTATATAAAATATATTATTATTCCATAAATCAAATTTCCATAATTAAACTTGCAATATTATTTTATAATGGGGGATTAAATTAATAAATTATTTCTATAATTTTTTATTGCCTGTAAATGTATCTATTCCTCCAATTAACATTACATTTAAACATGATTATATTTTGTCAAATAGTTATTAATCTAAAGTCCATCCATCAAAATTAAAGTTTTCAAGCCAATTAATTTCTATATCTTCAAAATACAAACATTCATTTGGTGTATCATTATTACAAATTTAACAACCTGGTGAGCATGATTAGATTTCTACCTTAAAATCTCTAAATCCCCATGATTCCTAATATTAAAAAAATTTAAAATACTGTAATTGGAAGCTCATCTAAATCAGTTGTTATAATTACAACTAGATTTTTTTAGTTATGTGCAAAAGTGAAATTGTAATTTGTAACAACTTCTCTCCATTATTCAGGATATTGAAGATTACCGCATTTTACAATCCCTGTATTCCAATACCAACTATCAGTTTAAACATAATCATCAAATATAAAATAAACATGTTCATCATCCCAACTATCTATTCTATATTTTATTATATTATTTTTGCTACTTCCAAAACTGAAAACTAATTCTTATTTTAAAATGTGCAGGAAGAGTTATTAATCTTTATACTTTTGCTCCTGATCCAAACACATTAAAACCTCCAAATAATAATGTCCCATCACAAATACTTGAAAACTATTCATTATTTCCTTGAATAAACCAACCTAAGTAATTTTTAAAATAAAACCATCTTTATCAATAAAATCTGTAGAAGTAAAAGAAGTATACTCAGTACTCCAATGCTCGTAGGCATTTTAAATAACAAAAAATGTTATTAACAACCAAAATTTTAGCATTCAATAATAAATTATTAAAAGAAAGGTTTAGTAAATAAATATTGATTATTAATTTTGTTGATAACATTAATAAATACGACTTAAATATAGTTTTGCAAAGCAATCTTTAATTAAGCGTATAATCTAAGAGTAAAATTAGCAGAAGAATAATAATTCTTAATCTGCTTATTCACAAATTAACTATTTGAATCATAAACAAATTCAATTAATTTATATAATATTAATACAACAAACCTTTTCGAATTTATTTATAATTTAATAGTGGTTGCAAGAATTCATCTATTAAAATATGAATAATTTATTCAATTGCAATATCTAACTTAATTAAATAGTTACGTATAAATCCTGATCCTGCACATTACTTATGCACTTAAAATTGAATTTATATCATCCATCCATTTACTTTATGAAAAAATTAGAAAAATTTTGATATAATTTCCAATAAATCATAAATTTACTCATAAAACTTAATTTATTGTAATTTATGGATTTTCTAAAATTAAAAACATAGTAAATTAATTTCTAACTCAAAAGTCTTTTAGTATTTGTTTTGAAATGCTTAATTAGATTATAAATTTAGAAGATATAATCATTTAAATAGATTCAAAATAGCTAAATATTAAATTAGTAGTTATATTTTAGATTGTGTCTAATTTAGATAAAACGTATACCTATTCATTTTATTTACACACAAATATTTAAAAACTAATACAAAAACTTGGATATTAGATAATAAGATAATTTTTGTTCGATAAAGATTGTCATTATATATTTTGGTGCATATTTCTTTCAATTGTGATGAATTATGTCGTAGTTTATTTAATTAAGTATTAGTTATTTTAATGATAAGATTAATAAAAATAAAATAGTGTATCATTTTATTATAAAAAAAATTAGAATGGAAATTCAAATATGAACAACGTGAAAAAGAGGCCAATAGTTGGATTATCTAAATTCAAAGTCTTATAATACTTGCTAATATTGATAATGAAAGTGCATTCAAATTTACATGACCTAATTTAATAATTAAATATATTTAATTTTAAGGTAAAATAATGCAAAAATTAATTGAAATCTATGATCAAATTCAAAATTAAATTTAATCTAATATCATAAGAATGCAAGACAATATTTAAAGACAAAATTGAAAAAACATTTGAAAAGGCAATTCGTAATTTCAACCATTTGTGTATTAATCATACGGCTAATTTCAAATACTTAAGCTACATCTATTTTATTTGTAACATTTCAGTAAGCAAGACTATCAGCAATTTAGTAACCATTATCATTATATTTCACTAAAATTCTAAAAATCACTTAATAAGCATAAGCTAATTGCAACTGATTATTTTTTGACCTATTTAATGAATCTATTTTCACACACTTGAAGATTTTCTACCTTGCAGATGAAAATTATTCAATTTTTGTTATTTTTGAAAATATTTAATTAATTAACAATAAAAAGTTGAAAATTTTTCAAGACAATATAAAAATGTCTAATCAAATTTAAAAATTTCATTAAATTTATGATAATAAAATTTTCTTTGTAGAATAAATCCGTTTGAAATTCTAAAATCTGAAGACAAAATTAAGAATTAAAATTTATATAAAATAAACCTTTATTTCATATCAATTTTTCCAATTCTTCATTAATAGACACCTCTTATTTAAATAACTATAAAATCAAGTTGCCTTAATTATCATCAGCAATATTAGCATTTTTTCTACATTCTAATTAAAGAGAAAAGAATAGCACTTACTTTTTCTTCTAAATTCCAAGATATTATCATAATATTTAAATATAAATAAAAATTTATTCAAATTTGGATTTCAAAAACAAAAATGAAATCCTTTTCATCGTTTTAAAGAAAATTCTTCTTCCTAATGCTCTAGTTTTCTTTAAATTTTTATTAAATAAAAATCCTAGAGAATAATTAATATTTTTTAGTAAATAGGATTTAAATTTAAAGCTTTTTAATTATTGAATTTGAGAACATATTGAGAGCATCTAAATATCATCAAAATATTGCTAAGGTGGTAAAAAATTTAGTTATTCAAAATTGAAATTTATTTTAAAACCAATATTGAATCTCTTTACTGTTTCAAAAAGCTTCCATTTATCAAAATTGATTTAAAAAATAATAATCAATTTAAGAATAGCTAAAATTTTTAACAACTTTGCTTTATCTTAATTATAAACCTTTCTAATTTGGAATTCAAATAAAACCTATTTTTTTTTACAATATCGCATACCTTTAATATAATATGTAATTATTATTAAATTTAATATTTTGCCTTCTATAAAATTTCTAAATGGAGAATCCTAAATTTATAAAATTGATTACAACTGCTTAAAAAAAAATTCACCTTTATTCATATATGCATTTTAAAGGATCTAGAGTTAATGCTTTCTTTGAATTTATCTCATAAATATTTTTGAGATATCTATAATTTAAGCCCAACTAAGGATTCAGACCCACAGTATTTGCAGAAATGTTAAATTAAATAATAATTTAATTTTTACCACTAATTAAAAATGAGTTTTAATTTATATTATTCAATATATTGTTAAGGAGTAATATTAAAAAAATAGTATTAATACTAAATTCATCTAATTTAAAATTTCATGCAAAAGATAAATTTGGATTTATTTTAAAAGTAAATAGCATTCATAATTTATAAATTTGGCATTTATAGAATTTTTCAATAGAACTAACTATTGTTTGAAAAGATATAAACTTGCTAAAAGTTAGTATTAGTTAATTTTTATTCGTCATCGACAAGATTATACTGAATGTAGCAATGTTTGTACAATAATTGCAAGTTTAAATGTTAAATAAAGAATAAGTATGATGATAATGAAAAATAAAATATATATTATTCAAAGTATATTAACAATGAATGAATTTTTTATATATAGAGAAAAGATAAATCCAAAAATTAAGAAAAATATACGTTTCATTAAAGACATTTTTTGATATGATATACAAATGAAAAAATATGAAATTAGGACAATACTTTACAAAATAATGATCTTGAAACATCACCAAAATATTTTATGTAAATTTTCTATAATCACATTATCGATAATTAGCTTAAAAGGTTTTCTGCCCTAACTATCATATTTAAATTTTTCATAAATTTCTACAATAAATCTAAAATTCTTAATTTTAAAAATCTTACTTATTATAAATATTAATTATTACTAAAGAGAATTTAAAAAGGTGTGAATATTTTTGTTTTACAACATAATCGAGATAGTTCTTAAATGAGATCATTAAATCTTTGTATTGTTTCTAGTCTTACATTACTCTTATACATTAATAACTAAAACAGTTATTTTACCTTCTTCTTTTTTTGAATGATAAAAATTTAGCTTAGAACAAATTTTGATAATTATAAAGATAATTTTATTATATTGGAATTTACTTTCTAATTCTAAGCATAAGGTGCACTAATTCTAAAAGGATAATTTGTGAATCCATTTTGTCTTGATTTAAAAACATTATTAAAACAAAAAGGAAGTTGCTTTTTGGATAATTATTAATAAAAATCATTGTTTATTCAATAAATTTGCAATTATTTTTATTTTAATTTTTCTTATTTTACCTTAATCCTTCTTATTGGTTTAATTATAACACTGGAATCATTTAGACTATTATAATTTTATAAGTGTTTTTGATTGATATTTTTACTTCTATTTTAGCAAAATTTTCAATTATTGGAAAAGTAAAGAAGATACAAAATTGAACTAATTTTTTAATTTTTACTTTATCATTCTTAATCGCATTTATAAAAATTTAATTTCATTTTTTTTTAATTCTCTAAAAAAGCTACTAATTAAGAGATTCTTTCAACTGAAAAAGCAGATATAATTAAATTTTATCCTAAACATTAATTTAAATATCATAGAGTTAGAAATAACAATATTGAACAATACTAATTATTTAAAAGGTTGATAAATATTTAACAAAATTTTTGAAGACAAATTTACCAGAATAGCTAAGTTTACCCTAGTCTAATTTTTGATTTCAAGAAATATAAAAGGTGAACTAAGAATTAGGACAAATGTAATTACAAAAAACTCCTTAATCCTTAGAGCATAACTTTCTCATTTTTGAAGAAACTTTAGCACTTGTTTCTCTTCTTATGAGCAACTATACCTCATCATTCACACAATCTTATGTTGAAAGATCAGAGTTCAAGAATTAAACAATGTTTAATCTCCCACCTAATATTGGCTAATGATTTGAGCCAAAATTACAACTTAGATCCTGATTAATTATAGACTGCCATGATTGTAAAACTTTTTTATACTACGAATATTCTACTTACTGTCACAATGCTCTTCACTCACATTACCTAGCTTTAAAACTTATAAATTTTAGTTATAGAATTTGACAGATCTTTTCAAATCAAAGTATGCACGAATGATTATAAGAAAATGATTGAAATAGTAAGTAAGTGATAAATATAAGAGTAAGTAAAAACAAAAACTTAATTAGAAAAAAAAAAGAACAAATTAGCGATTAAATAAAGAAAAATAAACATATCAAATGTAATTATTTTAGCTTAAAATATTAGGATAAATTAAATATCTATCTATTGAAAAAAAAAAGAAGAGATAATAATAAATTTAATTTTTTAAAAACCAAAGAATTCGAATAAGTATTGGGAAATGATGAAAATAACTAAAATGAATTATTATATAATATTATAGATAATAAAATTGATTAATATAATTTAGTTTCACTTAACAAGCTATTGTAAAAAAGGAAATAAAATGCAGATAAATTAATAAATGAATAAAAAAAATTTTTGAATTTAGTCTTACTGTTTTCATTCAAAATAAATAAAATGAATAAATGATAGAAACCAGAAAGAGAAGGAAGCCTAAGATTAATCAAAGATGTACGAAAATATTATATTTAATAATTACATTAAGGAGATGATTGATGAAATGGAAGGAGATTATGAGTAAATCAACAAGCAAATTGAATTTAAAAAATTTATTTAAAATTTAGTAAAACTAAGAACTGGTGTAAAAGAGTAGTAAATAATAAAAGAGATTATTAAAGAAAAAAAATCTTTTAAGAATTCAGAATTTTCATAGATTCTAGTTTTTCAAACAATTGAAATAGAAATATGAACAATGAATAAATTTTATGTTTTGATAAGATAAATTATTTTTTACACATAAATAAAATTTAGAGTTAATTGCTAAGACCATATTTATCTTAATTCTTATGAATAATTGTGAAATGAAAGCATTTTTGAATTTTTAAGCCTTCTTAATAAATTATAAATCATATTTTCGAGAAATTATCTACGATAATTTTGTAATCCATAATATATCGTATAAATATAATATATTTATTAAATCTTTTTTATTTTTCTATTTCAAGATTAAGTTGTAGCTATTCGTCTTCTATCAACCATTTTGATTAATTATTAACTCTGCCATAAAAAGATTTCTAAATAAATTTTTGTTTTCATTTCTTTTACTAATAGCATAATATTAAATTAAAGTAGTACGTTTAAAAAATATTAATTAAATAAATAACTGGATCGTTTTCCTATTTTATCAGTTATTGTCAACATATTTGGAATAAATATCTTATCAATTGGGGTTAAAGCAATTTATGGCATTCCATATGCCGAGTAAGCAATATGATAAACATAAAATTTAAAGAGATTTATAAAGGAGATTATAGATTCATCTAAAGATCAGAAATCTCCAATTTGATTAAGAATCTTTTAGGTTTAAGAGCCGCTTATCAATAGGATAATTTTTAGTAATCTTAGAAATTTCATTATTTTAATGATTTGAGTTTTTCTTTATAAATCTCATTGGTTGTCTTCCTCGATAGTTTAAAAAAATTATTGAATTGTAAGAAAAAAAAGATTTCGAATCTAATTAAGACCATAATTAAGTAGTTTAAAGCACATCCTCTAAAAATAAATTAAATAAAAAAATAAAAAAATAAAAATAGAGAATATTAAAATGGTATTGTTCTCTAAATTCTAATTTCTTTAAAAATATTCATATAAATTAAATAAATTAGTTTATAATTATAAAGGGAAATAAAATGCTATAAATAATTAATAATAACAGCGAGTCCATTATAAATATCATTTTTATCTCATTTCTTTGTTATTAAAATTATTGAAGAGCTAACGTATATTATTTTTTTTAAATTAAAACATAGAAAATCTTATTAAAATTCTATTATATTTTTGAAAGAGAGAAGATTTCCATCAAGATTTTGTTCATCGGTTAGTTGTCTCGTTCTAAGTAATTTAAGAAATGTAACTTATTTATTAATATTATAATCTGAAATTTATTGTGTATTCTTTCCATTCTAGGAAAATTTAACAAGCTTAAATAGAAAAAATAATTAACCACATGCTCATCTACTAATTTTTAAAAGAAAGGAATCTACAGAAAGCCATCCATTCATATTCAGATATTGGCTGTCTTAATGATAAATAATAGGTATTTAGGAAAATGAATGGTAAATAATATAAATTAATTCATTCATACAATAGGTCAATAATATTTGAATATTATAAAATAATCAATAATCATTCACTTATGATTAAAGGATTAAATTTAAAATATATTGAATGACTTATAAAACATAAAAATTGGATTTTTATTTAAGATTATATATTTAAAATTCTGGACTTACCAAAGACTTACTATTATACATACTTTTTTGGATTTTATAAAATGGAAAAGTCATCTTTTATCCAAATTTCCTCAATAAATAGTCAGATTCAGATGGAATTAAGATGGATTTTTTTTTAAGGAAATTCTATGACCAGACCGTCTTTCATACGAAAAATTCAAAACCTAGGATAAATACAATTAAAATCATTAAAAATTAATGTCTGAAATTTATGAGGAAGATCTAGAGTAATAAATTACCCTTTCAAAAAAAGATGCCAATTAATTAAGATCATCCTTAGAATCTATCTATATAGTTTTGCAAATGAAAGGAAAATATTTACCAAAATATACATCTTCAATAATAACCGCAGATTATTTATTAACTGTTTTATTTGAGAATGTTTTTGTTCTAAATGTAAAATAGGAATTTTGCTCAAAGCAGCAGAGAAAACAGATATCATTAAAGATCTTTTAAAAATAGAATTAGAAAATGGCCAAAATTGGGAATTTGATTCAAAACATCTATCAGATTAATCATGGTGTATAAATTTATTAAAAACCCTTAACCTCAACTATCATCTATTCAAAAATTATAACCAAGAATAATTTGATCTTTAAAATTTTACAGCCTAATAAATGAAGTAAAATAACACACTTAATAATTAGATTAATCTAAACTCTTCATCTGACAAGAGGAAAGAAAGCATAGGTAAAGTGCTTCTTTAAAGTTTCTTAAGAGAAATGAATTGAAATATAGATTCAGAAAAAATAGGAGAAAAAAAAGAATTTAGAGAAAAAGATTCAAAAAAGCAATTATTAATCAAAGAAGCCTAAAAGGAGATTTAATAGTTTGGGCAACAATTACTCCAATAATTATATATCATTATCAATATTTGAGAAAAATAAATAAATTTTTTTTTAAATCAGAAGAAATATTCTTCGGAATAATAATTATAAGAAAAAATATTATACTTTTTAATTTTTTGAGTACTTTAGAAAATGATTGATGTTAAAAGTTGAAGACTATTTCATGTATAAGATTATACTATATATTTTATGAAATGAAAAACTAATACAATTTCTTGTGGCTATTCCTTAAAATCTATATATTTATAAAATTTAAATACTTTATTTATTATTTAATTGCTAAAATTATTCAAAAATTGTAATAAATCAATCCATCTAATTATTGTTTAGATCATATTTTACAGTCATTATTGTTTACTTCCTTTACATTATTTCGATCATTTTGATCATTTTCTAACTTTTAAGGGAGGATCTTTCTTGCATCATTTTCAACTCCCTTTTCACATTATATTTAGTTTTACAATTATGATTATGTTTATATTTTTAGTTAATCCTTATTTCTCTTACTCTTAAAATATTAAATTATCTGGTTACTCATTCTACTACTTTTATAAAATATATAACTTATTTTATGTTTTAACTTAAATTGCTGAAACTTTCATTTATGGAACTCTCAAAAAAGCTCAATGTATTAGTTTCTTTACGTTCAGTTATATTTTTAGCTTCTTATAACTTTCTTCTTTTATTTGCGGATTGAAATTCTCTAAGTAATGTTTTCTGTAAGAACTGGCTATACTAAGTTGATATTTGATCATTCAACATATCTTTTCTATTTTTCTGAAGCATTATTCTAATTTATATTAACAATTTAATCTTAATCAGAAGAATTACTTTATTATTATAATTTTTTGACGATATTCAAGATATATGTGTCTAAGTAATATTATTAAACATTCTATATACAAGGCTATTTTTGATAGTCATAATATTATAGCTGCTTCGAAAAATTCTTTAAATCGCAAAATCTTGATCTCATAATTTTTTGAATTGGCATTCCATCTCAAGCCAAGAGATATAAAAGACATTCTCTAAAATCTCCTTCTTATTCAAGTGTTTAAATAAATTAGGTTCTAAATTATTATAATGATACTGGATTTATTGTTCTATCCTTCTTTGATTCTTTACCTGAAAGTTTCAATTTTCTTACATTATCCTTAGGAATTGCAAAGGCTAACATAGATTGATATATTTATTTGCTTGTTTAAGCAATTTATTTATTATTGCGGAATCTTTTTCATTTTTCGTCTTTTGTATATACTTAATCGCTAATTCAACACTTAGAGAATAACTGTTTTTACTCACAAGGATCTAGGTTTATAACAATCAGCTGTATCTAATCCTAGATTATTGAAAGTAATTGAAACAGCTTCAGCCTTTTTTGATAAATATGATTAAAGCTCTTGATTTTATAAAATCGTATTTACATTTTTTCGAATCCTTTTTCAGATTTAATGCTTTATCTAAATTAAAAAATGTAAAATTATTAACAAAATTTAATTCTAATTCATCACTTAATTTTTCAAAAAAAATTTTGTTAATGCTTTGAAATGATTCTTGTAAAAGGACATTTCCAAATTCTCTTTTTACAGCATCTGCAATAAGCAATTTACTCTGACTTAACTAAGATAATCTTTTGTAATAATTCTTATATTTATTTTTAATATTTAGAAAATATCACTCTTATTTTTTATTAAACATCACATTTTTATGAGAAAATAAAAAAACATAATCACATAACAATTTTATTTTCTATCTTAAACGAATATATGATTCTGCTTTTAGAATATTGAGACAATTTCAATTCAGATTGGTCTTAATCAATTTATGAAAGATAGTTTACAGGATTTACAATTAAGATCTTTCCATCATAAAGTCTTTAATATTAACAAGTAATATATAATACATCAAACATCAGTTCGAAGTCAGATATTTTCAATATTAATATCAGCTTTTAAACTAAACTTAAGAAAATACTCGAGTAATAAAAGGTATTAATAAAATTATTTAGAATGACAAGCAATCTGTATAATGAATTTTGAATATTTTGTAAATAAATCTTAACGATATAAAGTGATTAATTGTAATTTGAGGCACATAAAATTCAGGTGTTTACATGTTAAACAGAAAAAGGAATTTTTTTATAATAGGCTTTTTTTAAAACAGGTAGAACATAATATATTTTAATTACTTAATTATGTTAACTATTGTAATAATGTTTATAAAGGACTTTAATACTTTTAATATTTTAATTTTTATGCAGATTAAAACAGTATAGATTTTATCAGAAAAAGCAAAACTGTTGCTTATTAAAACAATCCTTTTGACTTTTTTTTATTACTGAGAAGCCTACAGAATGATAAAAAATGATAAATATTCAAAATTAAATGGTAATCGCAAATACCTAATGTTTTATTATATTAGTTTTATTTAATAATTCCGCCTTAATCTGCATTAATTTCTTAAACCTATTTTATTGCTTTATTGAATTTTTTTAATTATAAAATTTGATTTTGGTTTTTTCAATTGTTGTGAAATAATTAGATTAACTTCATTAGATCTATTAATTGAGATTTTGAAATGATAATACTATTTAACATGCCTATCCATCTCACATATATGTATGTATTATCCTTTATAAGATTAGAATGTAAATTAATTGCCATTAATAAAACATAATCTACATCCAAATTAATCTATTTTTATTTTTATATAATATTCCATTTTTTATCTTACTTTTATTCTATTACTAATAAATTCACTACTTTGAAGATTGGGTTAAAAATACTGTTGGCAAATTGATTTTGATTATTAATAATTTTGCTAGCCTAGCCTTAAGGACAAATTTATTTGTAACTATTAGATTTTTTATGGCCAACCTTTTTATTTTATGTAATAAATTTATTAAATATTAGACTTTTATAAGTTTAATTGATCCGGAATTTTTCGATTATTTATTTTCATATTTATATTTCTTAATTGTTCAATTTATCTTTTACTTTTAATTTCAGATGAAATTTGTCCAATTTGTTTAGATAAATTATTTTAAAATAAAACTTAGAAAGTATTTATTATTCTTGAAGTATTTTAAAGACCTCTTGTAACCATTTTTTTCATGAATATTAAATAGATAAGTGGAAGAATATAAACAATAGTTGTCCAATGTGTAGACACTAGCTATATGATATGGAAGAATAAGATGAATAAGATGAGATTGATAACTAAGAATGATTGAATTTTAATTTAAATTATTAAAATGAATCATTATATATGAACAATATGGCACTGAATATTTTTTATTATAAATAAATGTCTATTAATACATAATAGTTAATACTCATTAGAACAAGAATATCTAATGATTGGTATATAATAATCAGCAATATTATATTCCATCAAATTTTGTTTAATAAGCTTGTATTATTTTATATTTAAAAGAATTAATCTTAAATAAGCTTACTTCAATTTATTCTTATACTTCAATAAGACATCTTAAACTCTTGATTTATACAGCTATGTAGAAAATGATGGAATTGAGCAAACTAACATTTTAATTAATTTAAATTAGATTTTAATATTTGGAGTTCTATTTGTGATAAAAACACACTCTATTCATTTTAGATAAATCAAATAATAAATTATATGGCTTTGTTTTTTATCCTAATTATCTAAAGCAATTCTCTATACAAGTAAAATTTTGTGACTCTTGTTATTAAATATGCAATTTTTATATCAAACAATTTTCAAAAGAACAATCTTTATAAGTCCTCCTCTCTCAAGTGATATTGAAGCTTTATGTTTCTTTTTGTTTTGGTTTATATATTGTACCTTATTTAATCTAATAATTCTCAAAATTTATAGTCATAACTCATTTTAAAACAAAATATAAAAATAAATATTAATTCTATTGATAAAATTGATTTACAAAAATGAGTTTGGAAGAAAATTCAGTAATCCAATACAAATTCAATTTGATTAATTTAAAAAAAAAAAAAGAATAATAAGAAGAAAGTAATTAATTGCTTTATGTGAAAATTCCAGATTTTCATTAAAAAAAGTAATAGAGATAATATTCTAAGTTATATATAGACTAAATCGATTTAATTTTTAAGAAACTCTTCATGCGATACTTAAAAATTTTTTGATAAATTTTAACTTCCAAATAATAATTAACCAAAATTGCCTCCTAATCATAATTATCAACATTTTTAGACTCTAGAAGTTCAAACTTTATCTAGCTTAATAAAATCAAGGTTAAATAATTCTTATTAATTTAGTAACGAAGCAAAAAGTGAATAAAAAACTTATAACTAAAATGAAATGGTTCTTTTAGATCCAATCATGTTGAGAGATTTTAAGAATCGTGGTTACGATGTTATTGACATTAGAAATAATTCAGATTATGTAAAATTGATGATATAGATTAACATCATCTTTTATTTGAGCAGCAATCAATCAAATATTAATAATATCATAAAATCAGCAGATTATTAACATTAAGTAAGAGGAAAATTATATTCTTCATTCTTCGATTCAAATAAAAATCCTAAATATATAACTTAAGAAGGAGAATTCTTCGTTGATTTGAAAAATAATTTATTTTAATTGAATGGGTAAGGTATTAAATATTCAGGAAAATCAAATAATGTTAATGAAAAGGGTGAATATAATAAAGGAATAAAAATTCAAACAAGAAAATCTTAGAATAAAATAGAACGTAAATCTTAAAGTATTGAGCCAAAAACAATTAAAATTTTTGAGGTTTTGAATGGGAAATTAATCTTGAGAAATTAAAAAAAAATTTTAAGTACTTGGTGTAAATATAATCAATAAATTTCATTAAATGATTTAAAGATTTTAAGAACTTAAGGGTGGTTAACTAGCAGTATTATAGATAGCTATGTTTTAAGTCTTAATTTAGAAAGTTAGAAAAAATATTTTGCCTTAAATTATAAAGAAAGGCAACATATTAAGAAAATTTTTCTTGTACCTACGAGTTTAGTAACAAACATTGGAGGAAATTACAATATGACATAAGCTATTGAATTATTTTAATCACATTTTCTCGAATTATAAGAAATCAAATTTGAATTTTAAATCATGTATACTAAAATTGGGTTTCCTATTAATTCCAATAATGTACATTGGTATTTTTTATTGTTTGATCTAGAAAAGAATGAAGTAGAAATCTATGATTCATTATCACCAAAACCCTATTCTTAAATACTAGACTTAAAGATTATTTCAGAATTATTAATGTTAAAAAGTCCTAAAATAAGTTTCAATAAAAACAATTATGAATAAAAGGATTCGTATTCATGTGGATATCATGTTTGTCATTTTATGAAATTCTGTCATGAAAAATAATTTTAAAAAGATTTAGATTATTAATACGATGAGAATTAAATGAGACTGATTTTAAAGCAAGTAATTGAAGATGAAGAAAATTGAATATTTATATTTTTCAAATGAAATTTTAATTTGCATTTTAAAAAGGCAGAAAAATGTTTTGAATGAATCTAATAGATAAATTCAAGTAATTTCTACTTAAGATTTTTGATTTCTTAATTTAAAAATTTTAATTTAATTTAATTAAGAAATGTAAATTATTAATTTTAGCTGTTTTTTTCTATGTCTTTAAATTATTCAAAAATTTGAATAATTAATGAAGTTTCAATTAATTTATATTTAAATGTTGGGAAGGAAATCATTTTTATTATTTAATTTACCATTGAATAATTTATAACAACATCAAAATTTTTCATGTATTCCATTGAATTAATTTATTGAATCTAAAGTACTACTGATATTTAAACACTCCTAATTGTACAATCATTCTGTTTTAGAATAAGTTTATTTATAGCATTTGAGGAATTAGGTTCACTTTTTAGATTTGAATAGAGCTACAAAATTATTATTTTAAATCAATAGACATAAATAATTTAGTCGATCTTAAAATTTTCATTATTTATATATTTGATTTGTTCTGGAATAGGCTTCTTTCTATTGAGAATTATTTATAAAATATATTCCCATCTTATTATTTTAATTTTTTATTTTAAAATTTACATAAAAATAAAATCTTTTATTAGAATTTTAGAAGAAGAAGAAATATCCATTCTAATTCTACCTAATTAAATTTATGCTCTTCATTTAATTCTTTATTAAATTAATAGTCCTCACATTGCAATTTATTAAGAATAACTATCTTCTATTCATAAAAAATTTCTCATTTAATTGATTTATTTTTAAATTAACTTTTTTTTCAAAATTTTCTTTAGAGCCTATTATATATGGTAATTATGTAATAATAAATCTACAATCTTTTCTATGCTAATTAGATTGGTTCGATATATATAATGTATAAAATAATTATTAAAATATCTACATTAATGAATACAACATTTTTTAAAACAGTTCTTCTTTCCGCTAAATTATAATGATAAAGACATAATTGCAAATTATAATTTAATTTTTAAATACAAATCTTTATAACATCTTTTAGTTGGACAAAATGAAATGTAAAATATAAACTATTAATTTATTGCAAATTGTCAAATAAAATAATCAATCTAAAATTGAGACTTTTACTCCATATAATTTAACATAAAATTTAAACTACCCTTTAACTTTATTCAAATCCAAATATTCCTTTCCAATAAAATAATATATACTTAAATATTTCCATTAATGAAATATAGTATTCTATCATATGATGAATACGATAGAAGATATTCTTAATTTAAAGATATTTTCAACTTTCCTTTATAAATCTAGCCATCTGAAATAAGCTCTAATTTAAATAATCATATTTATACATCCTAATTCATTCAAACAAAATTTTAAATTTCCTTTCATTTTTCCATTTTTATCAACATCTAAGATTCCTATTTCAGCTTGCTTAAATAAAAACAATATATTACTATTTTATTTTGAGATCCAGAAAATTTCAATCTAATTTCAGCATCTATATTTAAGTTTAATATTCCATCAACCAAGCCGATACCTTACTGGTGACAAGAAAATGCTTGATTGTTTTCTGAATATTTGAGGTGCTTATGAGAATTTTTAAATCAAATTTTTTCCCAAAAAAAAATATTCTAGGGTGATGATTTTTTGATACTTCTGTTCTAAATGAAATATAGTGAATACCTGTCTTTTTAATATTATTTAATGTTATCTACTTCAATATAATCTTCTGTTTCTGTTTTTGGTACATAGACATACTATATATTAGAATTTTTTGATGTTTTAATATGTTATTATGTTTCTGTTTTTGGTACATTTTTGTACTCTTTATTATCTTTATTGGATATTTAATTAGAATTATTATAATTATTGATTAACTCTGATGGTAATTAAAATTTCAATCTGTCATCTTCATTTTTTGTAATATCTTCTGTATGAAAAGATTAATTTTACTATTAAATTTAATATTACTTATATCCTTTTAAAGGAATATTGTTTAAATCATCTTATTCATTTTATTGATTTTAATATAAAGTAGAATATTATTATGAAATATTTTCATAATGTTTTATTTAATTTGTTTCTTGTTGTATTTAATTTATTTCATATTTGATTTACTCTGCCTTATTTGATATAAATTCAGTTTGATAAATATTTTTTTATATTTCAATAGGTTGAATTGTTTTTGATTAAGGAAGTGTTGAATCATCAAATTCAGTTTCTTTCTTTGTTTAAGCATTAATAAAATATTGGTTTTCTATAGTGAAATATTTTTCTAATAAATTCAGAAAATCATCTACCATTTGATTAAATTTAGACCAAATTTCATTAAGAAAAATATCTTCTTACTCTTATTATGGGGTTTAAATTTATTCATAATATATTTTAGTATATTTTTATATATCAACTTCGGGAGATTAAGGATTTGATAATTAATAATCGAAGTAAATTTAATTTTAAACTCTTTCCAACTACATTCTACAATAAATATTAATAATTTTACTTTAAAAAAAAATCAAATGATTCTTAGATTTTAACAATAATCTTGTCCTATTAATATTAAATCATTTCATTAATATCTTCTTAAACTTATATCCTATATTATTAATTAAACTGATTAAATTTTTAAATAGCTTTGCTTTCAAACCTTTATTTAGAAATCACTCTATGATTGAATTCATTATGCAATTTTAATTAATCCCAGCTTGTGATAATTCTATTTAAGTGACATTACTATTCAAAGCAAATAAAAGTGCTTTTATCAGAATATTATTCACTCATAATTTATGTTTTAATTATAATAATTAAAATGAATAAAAAATCCTGTTTAAAAAAAGTGCCATTTCTACTTATTTTCTATTTCATATTTATAAATCTTATTATAAATAAAATCATCGAATTTTATAGCGTATCCTACCATGAGCTTCATGAAAAACTCATTTTGATGATATAATTTATTAGAATATTTTCGAGAGATTAATCTATACAGATATCTAAAGATTTGTTATATTAGAAACATTATTTATATAAAATAATAAATTATTTAATATATATGTTCTACAAGAAAGCTGGTCAAAAAATAATTCAAATAATTTAAACAAAAACCCACACAACGACCTAAAATATAGTAAAATTTAATTGATAAAGTACACTCGTTTATCAAAGAAAAGTCAGATTGCAAACAGAACTGTTATATGATTCTGATTGATTTTCAATTAAAAATTTAAAATTGAATCATCCAAGTTTTATCATAATAAAAGGGTTATAATTTATACAAATTAGTTATTCATATTCATAACAGCCATCTTTTCTCTAGTTTATTTTATAAAAATGCTATAATTTATTTTTAAGATTGCTTAATATCATGGTCAAATTATTCAATTAATTATAATACTAAAAAAAATAAATAAAAACAAGATATTAGATCGTAATATAATCCACTCAAGAATTAAATGAAAAATAAATTACAGTTTATCATATCATTACGTTTTTGAAGAACAGAACCTAAGGGAGCTATTATTTAAAGTGAAGAAATAGAATAAGAAAATTAGTAAGGGGGATATAAAATTATATTAATAACACAATATATATGATGAAGTAACAAAAATAAATAGTTGACAAAACTCCCTTTAAAAAAACCTATGCAAGGTGATTGGAAGTATTTGATCTGTAATTTTTTGTTATAATATTGAACTTTTAGCAAAAGCAAGAAGTCAATAAGTAGTTTAATTGTTATATAAATATCAATTCTCTTTAGGGTATAGTTAACTTCGGTTAATTGAGAGAGTAGTTTTATATAGATAATTCTATATTTATTATAACATAAAAAGAATAGTTGAAGAAATTCTTGAAGAAGAAAACAATTTGGAAAATATGAGATTCCATAAATTTTAACATTCCCTATAGGGCTATAAATATATAATCATTTTAATATTAAGAGAATCCATAATAAAAATCTATCACTGAAATGTAGTAATAAATTAAGGCAATTCACTTATATAACTATTATATAATTAAATATTCAAAATAATTGTATACTCCAAAGATAATAGATCTACTAATTAATGATGAGTCATTTTTATTTCACAATATCCAAAACTTAATTTATTTCATTTGTATCACAGAAAAGTCTTCAATATATTCTTTAAGATCCTTTTAATTTTAATTAAAGAGAATCATCTGATATTTAAAATAGCTTCCTTTATGAAGAGTGAGATTTTGAATTTCGAGATTTTTTTCATTAAAATTTTTCAATTCTTACAATTTAAATGTTTTATGCGGAGATTATATCTTTATCTAAGGTAAATTATAATGAACCTTTTTCATAGAAATAAAGTTTAGAATTACACTTCTTTAATAGTGTTGTATTGTTTAGGTCTTGAAAGAAAAAGCAACATCCTGCCCTTAACTTTGTCGAATGAGAAGTGTAATACAGAATATTTTATAAAAATATTGGCGCTTTACTTTAATCTTCTTTTAATTTAAAGGATTAGGAATTCTAATTTTGCAATTCATTAAGCTTTCTTTGTTTTTTCTGAAATTCCCTCTTGTTTTTGAATCTAAAAAATTTTGAATAGTAAAATGCCTTTGTGATCGATTTTTCAAATCTCATAAATGATCTATTGATAAGTTTTATCAGAATTGTCAACTTATTTCTGCGATTTCATACATAAACTAAATTAAGAGCTCTCTAAAACTATGTTTATGCTTATCATTTATTGGGAGACTATATATACTTATTAAATAATAATTATTATTGAAACCTCCAAATAGCAAATTAGAAATTAATATAATAAGGAAAAGCTTCATACCAATTAATACTAATTTTACGCATAACTAAACTTAGATGTCAAATTGACCAAAAAATTATAATTCATGTTGATCATACTTGTTAGTAAAAATAAAAAATTAAAAAAATATTAGCTGTAGAATTAAAAAATAAAATTTAATATTTACATAATTCTATTTATTTTAGTTCATATCATTATCTAAATTATTGATATCGAAATAGTGGTGGTTGGAAAGTCTTCAGATTCTATCTAGGACCTAAATGTATTAACTATACAATTATTTTAAATTAGCTGTTAGATATTCTCTATCGGAATGCAATAAACTATAGAACTGATCCGGGGGCATGCTTGGAGCTATTGTGGGGATGAAATATTGATTTAATCACAAACTGACACAGTTTCAAAGTTACAAGTTGTTTAATTAGATAGGCATCCAATAGCGATCGAAATTATAACAGTTTGTAGGGTCTGTCATATTTGAACATTTGAATGAAATGGCTGTAATAAATACTAGCCTTCACAAAGAAAAGATTAATAGGAACAATTAATCGCTTAATCAAAACATTTATGCGTAGAATTTCCTTACAATTAATTGCAAAAACTAAATTTTTTGCATTAGTTTAAGTATAAGACTGCATGCAATTTTTATCATCTTTATATTTTTTGTATTCTGATACTTACTAATCTAATACTCTTTTAAATTGTATCATTCTAAGTTTTCAATCCTGAGATCTAAGGTTATAAGTAGGATTGAAATGCATTTATTAGCTCAAAAATTTTTAATATGTCACTTGATCTATCAAAATTAAACATAATATTTGATTTTCAAACAATAAACGTAACAATAAAAAGATAATAAACTTGTTTTAGAATCTAAAAAAAGTCAATATGACTTCCTCTCTTATGAATTTAAGGTTTTTGCAGATGCAGCAAATTTCTTTCGCGCCACTTAAAAAGGCTTAGAAATTAGTATTAATGATGCATCTCATAATATTTAAAGTTTCTATCTCATTTATAATTATTAAAATGAATTTCAAATAATAATAAAAAATACAATGTTTTAGTATTATAATTAAAAAAATAAAGTTCTTTAAAAGTTGTATTTTTTTGATTCATTATAAATAATTCAAATTATTAGTTGGAAAGTAAGATTAATAATTAAATTTTAAGATAATTGTATTGAATGAATTCTAATAAATTTATTTAATAATTATCATTTTTATACTAATTCAAATGATAAATATTTCTGTTATTTATGGTCCCAAAATACTAAATATTAGGCATCATCTGTCATTGTTCCAAAAATATCTTCTATTTCACAATTCAATTATCCAATTATCTTCATATCATTTTCATTCACTATCCTAATCAGATAAATATGATGTTTATGTCTAATCAATATGACATTTTTTTCTTTATTATGTATTGTTCTAAATAGAATCCAATAATCCTCGCATTAATCATTCTTAATTAGTTGAAGAGTTTTATTTTTATTTTATTTGAAGATTCCATCCTGCAATTCAAAGATCAAAATTTCATCTATATTTTATTCACGAGTTACCCAAAGAAACTATTGATCTTTTATAAAAAATATTTAATAACCGTCAGAAACTTTTTATTTACATTATAATTCCCATTTCCCTTCTAATCCTTCCTTCCATATCAAGAAATTAGATTTAGCACATGATGCCAAAATAGTTTCAGATTCATTATAACACAATGAATAGACAGCATAAGTATTATCTAAAGAATACAGATAAGTCAGTTAATTGTTCATAAAATCTACCTTCCAGACTTTTATTGAGTCATCATAACCTCCTGAAATGAGTTAATCCTCTTGTTTATTTAATATTAAACATTAAATGTAATCAATATGTTATTAGTATGGTTATGACCACTTCCATTCATTTTGATTAATTTATTTCCAACTAATTATTGATTTATCCCAAGAACCAGATATAAAGCTATTCGTTTTTTTGCTGTAAACTAAACAATTTACAGTAAAATGGTGAACAGAGAATCTGTTAGATTGTTTCAACCTTCCTTATATAAAATCCCAAATGATAATATCAGTATAATCAGTAGAGACCATGATTGATCCACAATTGTTAAATACTATTGCATAACAAATATTAGCCTAATTATTTAAATCATCAATTAATTTGAATTCAACTTCACCCTACTCCAATTAATTATTATTTTAAAATTATTAAGTAGACTCTTTAATATTATCAATTTCATATTGTACTTCCATTGAATTAATTTTTTTTATAATCTCTTCTTCTTAATTTATTTTTTCGAAATTAATTAATATTTGTTCAATTTTTTAATTCAATTCAAATGCAGAGAATTACTTTAATTTTTGTAGAATCTTTTGATTCCATGAATGGTTTGTAATCTTTATTTAATGGATTAAAGGTTAATAATTGAATTGTTCAAACTTATCTTTATTTATTAAGTTATCCAATTCTTCATAGATACTATAAGTGACATTCTTTTATCCAATTTAATAGAAACTTTTGATCCATTCATCTGAGTCCCAAATTAATTAATCTAATTATTAAATTATGTGTTATTTTAATTGAAGTAATTTCTTTTAAAATGTTTATATTTATTTGATATTCATTGTAATAAGACTGTCCACGTACTCTAACTTCTTCTTTTGATATTCTTCAATTAATTAAATAAGTTTTTCAAAACTTATCAAACTATTTAAATTTTATTCTTAATTATCATCCAAGCACTCTTTGCATAAAAATCTTTTATCTTTTTCTAAATTCTTATCCCAAATAACCATCTCTATTGGACGTTTATGATTCATTGAACATTCAAGTTCCATTTCTTTTTCTATCATTTTCGATTGTATCATTTTAATTATTTAATTAATTTCTTTTTAATTTTTCGATTATCTCATGAACACTTCAAAATCAATTATGTTATTTGACGTATTGTTTTATTATGTTTTCTTGTTTAATCACATCTATCAAAGATAAATAAAAAAATTAAAAAAAAATATTGTTGTTTATATGAGAGGCAAATAAAATGATTTTTAAGAATTCCTTAAGTGGATTAACAAGTAAATTTTTTTCAGGCAAGAGGATTCAAGGAATGAGATTTTTTGAAGAAGGTTAAAAAATAGATAAACCTAAAAATTAAATTAATAGAAATTTCTAGGCAAGGCAAATGTAGGACTTTCACAGATTCCATATTTGATTATGATAAGAATTTAACATAATTTTAGGAAATTAGACATATTATACGACTTGCATATCTTCACACATTAAATTATTAACTTTAACTAAAGATCACCCTACATTCAAGTAGATAAGTAATTTAACATTAGAGAAAGGTTCTCACATATCATTTAAATTAATATTTTACATATAAATATTCAACACCTACATAATATGAAAATTTATCATTATTCTGTGAAACATCCTATGCAGAAACTAAAACTATTAATTTAACTTTTTAACTTCATAAACAAATTAAATGTAATTTAAAACACCAAATGAAGGAAATGGATAGGTTTCATTAAAGAATATATTAATATCAAAAATTAAATACCACTATCTATGTAGAATTAAATCATTATATTCAGTGTTTTTATGGAGCTTAACAATAAATGTCAACACTATCCAAGTATATTTAAATTTTATTAAAAAGATTTGACGATACCTGCTGCTGATTATTTTTATTTATAAGAGAGGATTAATATGAAAGTTGTTTAAGATTACAACAATACTGATCAATAACCTATTTATTTTAATTATGAGGGGAAAAAAGATATATATTAGGGCTGTTTAAATTTAATCAAGGAACAGAATGGTTAATAAACGAGATAGAAGAAGAACCTTTTGATTGGTATTATATCAAAAGGAGATAGTATTTCATTAAAAATTAACAACACTTATAAAGGTTGTATATATAATGATGGCTTTAAACTAAAATGTCATAAGTTGAAACTAATTTAAATGGATATTATATCTAGTTATTAATAATATACGAAATCTCAGGCATGTCATTTATTGATGTTTGTAGATATTCCTTAATATCGATTCACTTTAAGTCTTGTAGGAAATTATGGGTAAGATATAATCATAACAAATTTAGTGATTCTTTTTATTCTTGGGCTTATGAACAAATGGAAATCAGCTCAGGCTATTGCCCATGATTTTGTGAATTATGTGAATTATAGCAATAGTATATTCATTTATCATACCGTTTCAATGTACAACTTGTAAATCATCCTATTATAAATACAGAGATAGTCAATGCTCACTTTGCTTAGATCCATATTAAAAATTAAACGATTCTTATTGTTAAGATTTTGATGATGAAACACCATGTATTCTTTTTAATATCTTTAGATTCTAAATAATTAGTATAAGAATATAATGATTTATCAAACGACCCTAGATAATTTTCAAAATATTCTATTGTGTCTTAGAATGGAATAAACATTATGAAAGGATTAAATAAAGTTTAATTTAAATAAAATACTTATATCTTATATTCCATATTTGGCAAATATAGAACTTTTGGTGGTCAAATTGTTTTTGGGCTTAAGCCAAATTTTATAGAGTTAATTAAATTTCTGAACTTCACCTTAGCATAACTATTGGATTCTTTATAGTTTTTGGACCGTCTTTTCCTTAAAACAGTCAATTCATTTATAATATTGGATCAAATAATCCTATATTATATATATAGATTTTTCTTTAATAACTAAAATATACGAAACAATCTAACATTCTGAATCATTATTAATTATGCAATGGTAATATTATAGGTCATAAAATGAACATTTCAAGCTTATTGTGGGTTTTATAATTATTATATAGCAGTTCATTATCGTAAGCCTTATTGTTCAAAATGTACTAATTAAGACGATTGTATTTAATGGAATTCTGATTACGATTCAATCTTAGTTAAATTATCTTAGGAAGAATGTAATAACAATTAATATTTTGTTTAGAAATCTCTATAGTGTTATTCATATACAGAATCATATTTAAAATATTAAGATTCATTTAGTAAATCTAAATTAGGATGGATATGCAAAATCAATTAATATGAGTAATCAAATATTGTTTTGATTGCCCTATTGAATGAGAATAATGTTCAAGCTCAATATGTAGTATAGAATAATATTCAAGCATTAACCACATTTAGTCTAACGTAATTATATTTGTATAAATGGCTATACTTTTATTAACCAGATTCTTTTGCTATTAATGTTAAACGCTTCATTGTCATATTTGTGATAAAGACAACGGAGAAGATTGCTATTCTTGTCAACATGGCTATTAGTTAATTAAGAACAAATGGTTCCCCATTTGTGGGGATGCAATAATAACTGAAGATGAATAATGTGAAGAGAGGAATTTGGTTAATGAGGATATGCTTAGAATGCTAAGAAGGCTATATTCTAGTATTTTCTATTTGCGGCCTTTTAATTAAAAGCCTAAAATTTTATGAGATTACAAATTTTTTTCATACTTAAATCAAAATATAATGGTTAAATTTATTATTCTATCTCTAAAATTAGCCAAGAAAAAATATTTATTTTTAGTGATGATAAAGTATTGCAATCAATAATATTGATGATTGAGGTAATCTTGATTAATTTAATTTGGATCAAAAAGAATATAAAAAGTAATCGATTAATAAAAATTGAAAATTAGAATCTTCAATTTTTAATCCTATTTATTTTTATTTTACAATTACTAAGATTAAAGAATTTCTGTGCGAATTCGAAATCTAGGAGTCTGAGGTTTTCCATCGTTTAATGATTTCTTCTATTTCAATCATTAAATATAAAAAATAAGGCTCTCAGAAAGTCACTTATATTTAATTATAGTTAGATTATTAAAGCATAAAATGCTGAGAATATTTAACACTTGATTGGAATTCGAAAAAATTGTTTTTCAAGTTTTAAATTATCTACATTTTAAAAGTACACTAAATACTTAATTTGTTTCTTTATTATAAATTAAAAAAAAATCTCATAATATATTATTCCATAATGAAATTTATTAATTATATGCTTCCTGTGTTATATTTGGAGGAGAAATCTTTTTCTTTTAAACTTTGAGAAGCTTCATATTGAATATTAGAAGATCAAAAATAAAAAGAGAAGAAAAAAATCTAGTAATTTGTAAATTTAATAAGGTTATTTGTTACTCATTAAATAAGCAGTAATATCAAAAAAATTAGATCAGTTAAATATGAGATTTTTGAATATTTATAAGAGTAGCAATACTTTCAATAACATAATAGATTTATCTGCTCTTCCTAATAATATTATGAATTCAACGTCTAAAGATAATTCTAATATTTTTTACACAAGCTGCCTGTTCAACATATTTCTCATCTCCTTAACCTAGTTATGCAGCAGAATATTTTGATTCCTTAATATTCATCTGATCAAATCTATAACTGAAAGATGATGTAGATTTTTATAAATTACATATTGATTGTTATATAAAAGTAAAAAAATATTTATAATTCCATTTTGTGAATTATTGAATCATGAATAAGTTGAGGTATCTATGATTTTTGCATAATGAAATATTTTAAATAAATTGTACAAGGGTTAACCTTCAGGGTAGGATGATTGATTTATGTATTAGAGAGTGTAAAAGGATAAATGAATATTGATGATGATCATTTATCAATTTGCTCTTCATAAAATTCATAGGATAATATTAATGAATCTGATTTTTTTAGTGAATATTAAGAATATGAACAATTAGATTTTGCTCTTATAATATAGAAATTAAAAATTTCAATATAGATTATTTTTGTTATTGAAATTAACAATTTAAATAAACATGATATTGTTCATAACTTTGTTGTAAGATTCAGAAGTAAATTAAATTATATACTTACATAGTTTCTTTTGGATTTTAGAAAAGAGTTAAAATTCTAATGGTTATTGCTATTTGTTCAATATCATATACTCAGTATTTTCTAATGGCTTTTATCTGATAATTCTTCTCCTTTCTATATTGGAAGAAAAAAATAGTATCTTGCAGTATTTTTTAACCATAATGAATTCACAAAGATGCTTCAGAAAGAATTTGATAGAATTTAGAAAGAATATATAGTTGTATATTATGAATGGATTTATAAATGATAAGGAACTTCAAACTTTTAAATTTAACTTAATATGTTCATTTTATTCGATAAGCAACAACAATATATCAATTATTTCTGCAAGATTTTTATTTAAAATTGATCAAATACTGTGGCCCTTAAATTAAATTAATTTAGAATATTGTTGATAAAGATAGTATTAGCCTTTAACAATATTTTAAAAATTTAAATGACATAAAAATTTAAGTTTATATTTTTATATTATATCAATAAAAAAGGTGTAACAGTATGAATTTATTGGCTAAAACAATTAATGGTAACATTTATACAGTACCAAAAAATGTTAACAAACAGAAGCAATTTTATCCTTTTCAAACGAAATTTATTGTCAATCAATAATTAGCTTCAAGAGTTACAGATTTTATCTCATTTTTAAGTATTATTTTGATAAAAATTAATTAAATTTTTATCTAAATTAAACAAAAAATGACATAGAGCTGATCTAAATTAAAAAAAGACTTATTTATAAAAAAAATAATGAATAGAAAATAAGAATAATAAAAAAATTAATAAAAATGAGATTCATAAACTTATTTAATACTCATGATTTATATTATTAAATTAATGAGATACAAAATGATTTTGAGTTTCATAGCCCTTGTTTCTTCATAACAAGTTCTAAAATAAAACGAATGTAATGACTGTGGCTAATTAAAGTCATAAACAGATTGTGAAAGTTTTAAAACTGGTTCTTGTGAATGGATTGAAGCTAATTTAATAGTAGCAGCTAAATGTTAAAAGAAAGATTTAGAAACTGAATAAGGCACATTCAAATCATATTGTGAGCTAATTGAGAAACCAGAAATAAATTGCTCAAAAACCTTAGGTTGTGCTTATTTAGATTAAAAATGCTTACATTTTGCAGGATGTTCGGCTTACGTTAAAACAAGTTTATAAGAATGCCAATAAATTTCATATCGTTGTTTGAGTGATGGTACCGCTTGCATTGAGGCATTAGCTTGCAAGGAATACTTGCAAATTCAATGTGAGAGTACTCCAAGTATTTCAGGAATTTGGACATGCAAATGGGATAATGGTGTTTGTAGAGATATTTTATGTTCAGAGGCACCTTTAACTTTCACAACTGATGAACAGTGTGATTCTTGGAAATCTGGATGTATAACCAAGGGAAAAGGATGTTGGAACAAACCTTTACCAAGTTGTTCAATCTACACAGGAACTGAAGAATATTGTAATTTAGTTATTGGAAATGATGGAAATTGTGAGCTGGCTAGGGATACAAAAAATTGTAAAGCAAGAGAATGTTCAAAAGCATCAAATACAATTTCAACAGATGAGGAATGTAGAGCATATTAAAATGGTTGTTTAACAACTGGAAAGGGATGCTATAAGGGAACAACAAAACCATTATGTTCAAAATATTTTGGTGATAATGTAAGTTGTATAGGATATATTGGATCAGATGGAGTATGCGAAGGAGATGTAGGAAGTAATAAATGCAGAGTAAGAAGATGCGAAAATGGAAATTTCCAAACTGATGATTAATGTAAAGAATATTAAAAAGGTTGTGTAACGAATGGTGTGAAGTGTGTTAGTTCGTTACCAACTTGTAGCACATATAAGGGTATTTCAACTGGATGTAATGCATACATTGGATCTGATGGTTATTGCACAGGAATTAGTACAACAGTAGAGGCAAATTGTATTCCTAAAACTTGTGATTAAGCTTCAAATACTATATCAACAGATGAAACATGTGAAAAATTTTAAAAAGGATGTGTCACAACTGGGAAGGGATGTTCTACTAAAGTTGCCTTGAAAAAATGTTCAAATTATGAAGGAGACTCTGTAATTGCATGTATTACAAGAGTAGGATCAGAAGGCAAATGTACTTGGAATGGTGGAAATAAATGTACACCAAGAGATTGTGCTTCTGCACCATCTTCAACAAACACAAATACTCTTTGTAGCAATTGGTTTTCTAATTGTGTAACAAATGGATCAGGTTGTGTAGCTGCAACAACATGCGAATTAACAATTAAATAATCAAGTTGTGAGGGAACTAAAAATTGTGCATGGTAGCCAATATGTACAAGTAATTCATCTTGCACCCAATTTAAAAGAAAGGCAATCTGTATATCAAATACAGCAAGAGTTTATAAGGGATTAGATGATGATAACAACCCTATTTATGTAACTCAAAAATGTGGTTGGGGAGCTAATGGTTGTTAAGATCTTGAATGCAGTCATTTGACAGGTGCTTTCTATAGTCTACATGCAAACTGTGCAGTCGAATTAAGTACATGCATGAGTAATGGAGTGGATGCTTGCATAACCAAATAAGAATGTTCTAAATTGAAGGGAACAAAGAATACTTGTTTAACGTATCCTGGATTTTGTACAAATTTACCCACAGCTTTAGAAACAGCATCCTGTCAATCAAGATTGTGTTCAGATAATACTGAAGCTAAAGATAATGCAACATGTGAAGCATGGAATCCTGGATGTATAAGTAATGGTTAAGGGTGTGTTTTTTATACAACCTCATGTTCATCTTTCAAAGGAGATAGAGATACATGTAATAACTTGTATGGCTACATTTCTGGAAGTTCAAGTAATTACTTGACAGTCTAATGTTATAATGATAGCAATGCAACTGTAAATTCATCTTGCAAATAAAAGATATGTTCAATGGCAACTGATATGAGCGAAGGTTCTTGCAATGGATTCTTAAAAGAATGTATATATAATGGAAATGGAAGTTGTGTTGATCCAGAAGTTGCTACTTGTGATGATTATTATGGTGTTGCTGCATTTTGTGAAGGATTAACTATAAAAAATAAAGATCCAAAATATTGTTATGGTACTTCTTCTGCAGCTAAATGTCAAGTGAAAAATTGTGACCACTACCCTGAGGCTAATACAACTGATGAAATTTGTCAGAATTTTAAATCAGGTTGTATTGCTAAATCATCTGGAGGTTGTGTTGATAAATCAGCAACATCATGTTCATTATAAAGTGGAACGAATTAAACTTGTCCTAATTTCTCAAGTAATTCTGGAAAATGTCAAAAATATAACCAATGTTAGGATAGAGTTTGTGGAGATATATTAAATCCCACTAGTTAATAGGATTGTATTAATTATAAATCAACATGTAGATTCTTTAAACCTGGATCACCTTGTATATATGCCAATATATGTAATCAATATTATGTTCAAGATTCAACAGCATAAGATTCAGATAAATTTGCTTACTGTATTACAATAACAAATTACAATGGTAAATTCTGTGGTTATAAAACTGGAAATACATGTGCGGAAAGAACTTGTGATCAATTTTTAAGCACTTATACAACTACATTGACATGCTTAACTTATGTACCGAAACCAAATCTAACCGATAAGAATCCCTGTAAATTAGCAGGCACTATATGTTATGCTCCTTAAAGTGATTGTGCTTATCCTCATGGCATAATAACTACTGATAGCGATAAAAAAACAGAATGTTAAAAATATGAAAACACCAATGATGTATAATGTATATGGAGCATTGGTATTGCATGTTCAAATCAAAATAAATGTGAAAATCTCATTACTTAAACTGATGCAAAGACTTGTAATGACTTTTTATATGCAACTGGTAAGGGTTTATGCCAAAAATTATCTGATTCAATGTGTATAACTACTAGTACAGATTGTGCTACCTATAAATTAGATTCATCAAAGACAGAGGTAGTTAAGAAGGCTGTATGTTAAGGTTTATATGTCATTGATGATGTTTCAAAATATGGTACAGGAACTGGTGTATTTAAAAAATGTATTTATAAATCGGCTGATGCATGTTCTCCTATTACTACATGTGCTGAAGTTCCATCTGCTATGAGTTAGGTAGATTGTGATAATTAATTACCTGGATGTTTATATTTTAATGGATTATGTTATGCTATATCCGAAACATGTGCAGGTGTCTCCATTCCAAACAATGCTAATACAGATACATTAAAATCATTGTTTTGTCATAGTATGAAGTAAGGCTATGATCATTGTAAACTCAATGCTGCTAAAAATGCTTGTGAAGATAACGCGGATACAGATTGTACTTCTTTTGATATTACAAGGATTACAGATTGGGATGGTAATCTTATTACTTTAGCTAATTTTTGTGGAGACAAAGCTGATAAAACAAAAAGGATATTATGTAAGGCAGGAACTCTTCCAAATTGCTCAGCTGCAACATGTGAGGATATTGCAAATCCAAAAAATTAAGGAGATTGTGATAATAGAATACTTGGATGCTCATTTTCAAATGGAAAATGTAGAATTTTTGATCCAGCTGGAGCACATTGTGAAGCTATTGATATACCTACCGATATTACTGTTGCCAGCGGTAAAACAGTATTTTGTCAATCTGTAACTTAAACAATTTCATCAAACTCAGGTGTACCATGTACTTATGATGAATTTAAATCTGGGCCTGCTGATACTTATTGTGCAGCAACTGGTACCTGCTCATCATATACTGCTCTCCCATCAGATGAAACTTAGAAATTAACTTATTGTCTTAGTAAAGTTAATGCTTCAAAATAGTAATGTGCATTTACGATAGGCCAAGATGCTTGTAGAGATTCCGATTGCTTTGATATATTTTCTCCCACATCATAAATTTCATGTGATTTAGGAGCTCCTGGCAAGACATGTACATATATTTAAGGGACATGCTACAATACAACTGATGGGTGTGATAAAGTTCCAGCATTAGGGTTTGATAAAAAAGAATATTGTGACTTATTAACATCCAATACCATTAATTGTACCTACATTGCAGGGGAATTTTGTACTCCAAAATTAGCAGAATGTAAAGATTATGATGTAACAAATGCTAGTGATAAAAAAGCTACATGTAATACTTTAGTCAATCAAACTGATGAAAAATGTATTTATGTTTGGGGATATAAATGCGTTACACTTGGGACTTGCCATTCATATGATGGTTCAGCAATTGCAGAATTAGGACCAGAAAATGGTAAAGAGATAACTCAATGCCCAATTTTCAAAGCAATAACAACTGGTTATCCATGTATTAAACATGCTTCAGATCCCAGAAAATGCTAAACTTAAGTATGTGCTGATAATGAGGGCAATGAATATGGTTGCAAGAATAATGTCAGTGGTTGTATATACTATCAAAATAAATGTATCTCAAAAACTTCATGTGCATTATATACTTTCCCAGACACTATAATTAATGAGAATGAAAAACAATCTTGGTGTGAAGAAGTTATTGATTCAAATGACAACAAATGCAAATACGATGGAACTAAATGCGCTAATAGACTTTGTAGTGATTCAGCAACTGCCAGATATTATACAGATTTTGATTGCAAAAGTTATTTGAAAACTTGTAAGACTGATGGTTATGGATGTATCGATGCCAGCAGTAATTGCAATACTGTTTCAGGAAATTAGACTTTCTGTGAATTAATGCTTGATAATTCAGGGTATAATTATTGTAAGTCAAATGCTGCAGTTGTTGCTTATGGCAATTGTTAAGTTAGAACCTGTTATGATAATGTATCCGCTAAATCTGATGGAGATTGTGAAATTTGGATGAAAGATTGCGTAACCAGAGGAAACGGTTGTATACCGAAAGATAGACCTTGTTCTGAATATAGAGGTACAAAAACTTAATGTGAAGCATTCAAATATTATTCACATTATGATAATGTCAACAAAGTTGATGTGTATGTATAATGTTCTGGAATGTCATCCAATAAGGAGAATAGTAAGTGTAAAGATAGAAAGTGCACAGACAATACAATCGCAACTACAAATGATGAATGCTAGGCTTACTTGGATGGTTGTGTAACAAAAGGAATAGGATGTATTTCAAAATTTTTCAATTGTTCTGTTTACAAAGGAACTAGAGATACTTGTAGTAACTTCACGGGATCAAGTGGTTATGAATATTGTTACAATGTAGAAAATGCAACAGAAACATCAAATTGTTAAAAGAAGAATTGCAGCGATATTTAAGGAACTAATAACAAAGAGTGTAGCGATGGGATGAAACCATTTAATACAACTGATAAACCTTTCTGTGTTTTTAATGGAACTGTTTGTGATACTTATGGTAAAAGATGCGAGAAATTCAAAGGAACAGAAATTACTTGCCCAACTTATATAGCATTAAATGGTCCATGCAAAGCTACTAATTATGGAACGATTGTAGGAAGCTGTGCGAAAAGAGTTTGTATAGAAGCTTCAAATAATTTGAAAACTGATCAAGAATGCCAAGATTATCATCCAGATTGTGTCACTACTGGATATGGATGTACATTTGTTGTTAATTGCAATTCTATGATCAATTAAGATTCTTGTTAATTAAGACCAGAATGCACATGGGCTAATTAATGTGAACCCACTAAGACATCATGTTCTGAATAAAGTGGAACAAGTCGATCAAATTGTGTTAACACAGTTATTACAATCGAAGTTAATAATGTTAAAATTAAAAAGAATTGTGCTTGGACAGAGATAGATAATTAATGCAGAGATCAGAAATGTGAGGATCAATCTGCAACTATTAACTCTCATAAATAATGTAATGATTTTGATAAGACATGTACAACCACTGGAGTTGGTTGTATTATAATGACAGTATGTAAAGGATACAGAACTGAATCTATTTGTAAAGCTGCTTCGTATCTAAGAAATAGTACAACTGGTGAATTAGGCAGATGTTTTTGGGAGAATAATAAATGTAGGGAGAGAATTTGTGGGGATTTGAATGGAAAGACTGATGCTGAATGCGATGCACATTTGAGTGGTTGTAAAACAAATGGAACAGAATGTGTCTATGGATCAGGTTGTTCAGACTTTAAACTTTAATAATATTGTATCTCCTCAGAGAATGGACCTTGTTTGTGGATTAATGGAATATGCCATAATTATAATTAATGTGAGGATGCTTTAATGAAGTCTCACTCAGAGTGCCAAGACTTTTCTCCTCTTTGTACTACAAATGGTGAAAGATGCATCCCAATCACATCTTGTTCTAAAACAGCTTTAAGGATATCTTGTGTTATAGGTACAGATGGTGATTGTGGATATTTACCAACAGGTAAATGTTAAAAATTCAACAAATGTGCTGATGCAATATCAAATGATTAGAATGCTTGTTTGGCTTATGGTGGTTGTATTACTGATGGAACAACTTGTGTGGCCAAAGGTAAATGTTCCGACTACAAAACAGAAATATCATGCAAAAATAATCTTGGAAGTGATGGAGTTTGTTTCTGGAAGGGCTCTAATTGCAAATTGAAAGAATGTTCAGATCTTATTGGAACCACATATGATCGATGCAGATCTTAAGTTATTACTGGAGGTTCTTGTACTACAGATGGAATTTAATGTACTCCTCTAAAGCTTTGCTAAAGTTATACAGAAGGTGGATGTTATTAAGGAACAGATGGAACTTGTATCTTCTCTTTCCCTATTGGTTAAACCAGTGGAAATAAAGCTTGTAGATTAAAGTTATGTGAAGATATTGATAAAGGAGTTAATAATTTTGCTTGCGGTGGAGTCATACCTGGAAAAGAATGTGTTTCTAATACTAAAAATTGTATTCCTAAAGCAGCTTGTTCAACATACAAAATTTTAGAAGCATGCAATGGAGGAGGATTAGAAGGAATAAATCAAGTTTAATGTACATTTTCGCCTAATTCTGCCACCGATAAATTCAATGGAACTTGCAAAGAATTCACATAATGTAAAGATGCTAATTAAGATTCCAATGCTTGTTCAACTAATAAGGCATGCAAATGGACTTTAACTGAAATTGCTTCATCTTGTGTTTCTCATACTTGTGATACGTTTGCTACTGGTACTGATTGCCAACCAGTTCCTAGCTTTGATGGCAAAACCTTCACTGTTTGCATTATTCAAAATGGTGTGTGTACTGCAAGTGATCCTGGTACAATAACTGATTCAAAGGTTTGTTACACTAAATCTGCCTAATCTTATACCTGGAATTAAAATACCAATAAGTGTGAATAATGTAGAGCAGGAGCTACACAACAAAATACCACGAACAATAATACAATTCATTTAAACAATACTGATAATTACGGAACGATTTTACCTATTTTCACCTTAAGTCTTCTTGGAATTATGGCCTGAATATGATTTTATCTAACCTATAGGAAAAATTTATACAAATCTTAAAAAATGTCATTATTTTATATATAAATAATATTATATTGATCTCTCATTCACAATAATAAACATTTTACAAAGACATATTTCTTCAATGAATCATATTCATTCAAGTTTTTATCATATCGATTTATCACCAGCAAGTTAATATTTGCAAGTGATTTACACCCTCTAGAAATATGTAAGCAGACGACGGAATAAATCTATTTAGCTCTCCTGGTAAAATTTTGATCCTCTAAGAAGTTTTTTTTTTTAAAGTAGTAGGCATCGATAACTACCTTCTTATCTACCAATTTCAATTGATAGATGGACTTTTACTTTTAAATTTTATCACCGATTTTTATTGTTGCCTAATAATTCCAATTTTTTTAGGAAAATTCAAAAACTCTTGCCTCCCAAAACCAAGTCTATCTCTTTTTAAGGTTTTCGTTAAAACGACTAAGATATCCTTTAGTGCTCAGGACTTAAGAAAGAGGGGATGGTTAGTTAACTTTTTAAGAGTGAATTGCAAGATATAGAGTTCTCCTATGAAGGAATTGAACAACTAGAGGTCAAGAGAAATTCAAAATTTGTAGTTGAAGCTTCTTAGTTTTGTTTGCGAATAACAGAGGGTTCTGATAAAGTATTAGAATAATATTGAAATAATATCAATAGTTCAATAATAAAAGATTAAATATTCAATATGATGAAGAATTTAAACAGATTAAGAAAAAGGTTTGAAAGGCATAGGATAAATCAATAAGATTACTTTACAACAAGGATTTAAATAATTGACCACATAAATGAAACAATTTTATAAGAGGAGAATAAATTAAATTAAAAAGGTAAGATGAATCATTATAATGAAGAAAAGTTTAAAAATTTATAAGCTGAATCTCATTAGAAAAATACATATAGAGACAGCTAAAAGAATTAAAAATATACGAGGCAAAGCTAAGACAAAAATTAGAGAATATTAAGAAGCAGGATTTGAGAGAAATAAAAAATAGATATGAAACAATTTATAGAAGATGAAATTAAATCAGTTATCTTATAAATATCTAAAAGTTAAGTAAAGTCTAAGACAGATTTCAATTAAATCATGAATTGAAAATAGAATAAAAATGCATAACTACTTAATGTAATGGAAGTAAGACAAAATAATAAATAAAATAACAACTATTAATCCTTGTTTTATTTCATTGAAATTTTAATATATCTAAGCATTCCTGAACAACTTAATCAAAATTAAAAGGTATTATAATTTAACAAAAACGAAACTCTTTTGGAAATTATTTGATATCAAACATTAATAAAATTTATTAAAAGTATTGATTCAGTAATTCATCTCATCATTACTTTTGCGTTATTTATTTTTTCCTTATATGTTTTGCTTAGTCAAACAAAAAAATTAAAGTAATTCAATGCAGAAAATTTCACTAATATTGATGCACTCTTTATTCACAACTAATGTGTTATATTATTCTGAATTTTATGAAACACACATTATTTTTTGATTAATAAGAATATGATGTTTACTAACATCTAATAAAGTGTTTGTCTTCGTGTGAGTCCTTTACTTTTCGATTAATCAAAAATAATTAGATAATAGATACCTTCATCTAAACCTGTCAACACAACAATTTCATTGAAATATATTCATATAAAGTAATAAACTACACGACTTATAGGAAATTGTTGATGAATTTAAAAAAAAATTTCTTATAAAGTTCTTCTTTAAAATTTTTTCAGTTCCATAAAGAAAATAATTATCCATCGAGTTTCTAGTTAATCAATGAAATCTAATTTCTCTAAATTTAACTTCATAAACATCTTTAAATTTTTATAGTCTTGGCAATTTGTGGTTCAACTCTGTTAACAACTTATTGATCTTATGATTCTTTTTAAGAACACCAAATTGTGTATTTTTGTTAATTAATATTTTTTAATTTTATAAATCTTCATCCTTTCACAATTTACTTCATTCCTTCTTAATTCATCTTATAGGGTAATATTTCTTGATAAAGGATGATAAATACTTAATTTATTATTTAAAATTCTTCTGATCTTTTTAAAACTTGAGTAGATTTTCTTAATTCTTTTTTTTATTACTCTTCATACTCATGTTAAATTTTTTTCCATCTAAAAGAAAATCAAGGTCTTTTTTATTTATTAGTGTATAGTATAATCTAAACATCTAAAATTCTTAATTTCTCCTTATACCTTCTTTACTGATATAACTATCCTGATCTAATTGAAAAAAAAAATTTTTCGGAAAGCTTTTATTTCAAACTTCTAAATTCCTTTTTTAATTGTTTCAATACTTAATTATGCTATTACTCTAATTTCACAGTGTTACATTTACTTATCATTACAAAAATTATCAATCTTTTAAGCTTAATAATTAAGATATATTTCTTAGCTATTTCAAAAAAGACTTTTGTAACTAAACAAGCAATAAGATAAATAATTTTAGAAAAATCATCTGCGTAGACCAGAATTAAAATTTTTTCGATTAATCCTCTTCTACATTTAAATTGTCATACAATCTAATAAAAATTCAATCCTCGCTTATAACATTCACTTTATGATTAAATTTAAATTTCAATTCTATAATCCATTAATGAAGTTGCTTTATATTTCCTTGTATTTATTTGTCTCAATTCAATTCAATTTAATTTTCTTTCTAATTGTCTTCCTCCATTCTAATGAATAGTTTTTTAAGCTTTGCATCTTCTTAAGCGTATTCCAAATAATTCTCCATTTATGCCCAAAGAAAGAAGCCAATATACAAATTTACTGAACAGACAATATTGTTGATTAAACAGGAATAAATAGATTAAGCATCTATTGATAAAAATGGTAAGTAAAAGTTTTAGTTTGCCATTAAAGTCTTGATTAATAAATTTGAGATCTAAAAAGAAAAATTATCAATTCATTTGTGAATTTCTTTTAGAAGACATTTGCTTTACTAATTATGAAAGCTTATAACAACTAGCTAGAATAGGAAAAAGTTAGATATTACTATTAGAAGAAAAAGAATTAAAAGAAAAAGCTATGCACTAAGTCTTACTATTATTTATTTATATCTGAAAACAGTTCAGAAATAATCAGTTGCAATTGGAATATATTTCAATTTAAAAAGGACATTCTTATTTTCGTATTTGTTATATCACATTATCCTTTATACAAATACTTAACCTCTTTCAATATATGGGTTTTTAAACCCTAATCTAAGTTTTAAAACATTCTATACCTCTTAATTATATATTTAATTCCTTCAATTATACAATCTATGTCTGTCTATTTATTTTTTCATCATATAGAGCAATTAGCTCCTTTTCCTTTCTAATTCCAAGCTAATCAATCATTCAATCTACTAATTTAACCTGATCAAAAGGTATTTGGTGGGATAAGTGTTTCTGAACAAATAATTGAAAATCATAGACAATTTTTTTTGTTTGTAATCCATGTTGAGTGAGAAATGTATACTCAAAATCAAAATTATATATATAAAAATAATTAATTGTTAATTTCTTTTAGATATTTAAAATCATTCTATACAATTGAAATTTTATGATATTTTACCAACAGGAAAATAAAAACATCTCTATAAATTGTAATTTTATGATTAAGACTATTTACGAAATATTCATGAGTTAGTTAAATAATGAGATAGCAATTTATTTAAATATAATTAAGCTTTGTGAAATAGAACTTTATCTTATAATTTTATATTTGGGTATATATTATTAAGTTTTTTATTATTCTCTTGTTATAATATCCTTTAATGTATTTTTGTACCTTAATTAAAACTAATTATTGGAGTAATATAAAATTGAGTCCATTAATTTTATTTAAGAATTAAAAGAGAAAAATCTAATTAGTCTTCAAATAGTCTTATATTTATATTAGAATGGTATAGATTATAACTAAAAGAAATAGGAATTACATTTTCCATAAGAATGAATTAGATTGAATATTATTAAAATAAGCATTAAATATATAATATTCTATTCATATAAATTATACTTATTTATTTAAAGTTACTATATTTATCAAAAACTCATTTATATTAGATGATAAACAGATTAAAATATTAAGTAGAACAAAATTTACATTTTTTCGACATAATTTTCATTATCTATCCTTTTGTCAATTCGATTTAATTCCTGATCATCACCAATCCTTTTTAACTTACACTTTTATAAAATTTGTAACCTGAATACTGTCCCTTTGATAAATCCTAAATCCAGTTACTTCTATAAATTTTTATCATATGTCCCACCTTAATAGTCCCATCCAATTTTTCCCTCAAATTAAATATCACTATCACTCTCCAGGTTATAAAAATTTTCATTTATATTAAATGTATTTTGAATTTATAGATTTCTAATCTGCTGCTTCGATTAGATGCCAAAAAATTGAGTTCTTAATCATCCTAATCATTATTTTATTCTAAGATAGAAATACAATAAATTTAAAGATTAAGTTAAATTGCCATCTTATTCACCATAAAATAACAACAAGAAAGAATTAATAAAATTCATTTTTGAATCTAAAGAATTCATTCTAACATAAGCAGATGAAGAATCATTAATGTATAAGTGATTCATTTATTAAGAAAAAAAAGCTTAAACGGCTTAATATTGAAAAATAGATTAATTCAACATCAATTTTATTAAGGACTTATTATTAAATTGAAAAAAGATTTAAAATAATTAAATTTGCAAAAATTAATTTTTAAAAGCCCAAAAATTTATTATTAAATTTGATTTCGATTAAATAACTTTGAGAATAAGAAACATTCCTATTATCAGTTAATTAATCTAGATATTCGATCTATTATTGGATAAAAGCTCCATAATTATACATAAACACTAAAATTAACATATATATTTGCCATCAGCTTTAGAAAAAGAATTACCATCAGCATCTACTATCAATTGAACATACCATTAAATATCAAATAATCAAATTAGTATTTAGAAGATATAGTGCTATGATTTCCTTTTTTAGAGTTATGTGAGAATTCAACTGAGCCACGTCATCAAGAAAGTAGATTAATTGACTATATTCAGTAATATTTAAATTATTATTTAATTGGTAATTCTTCTTAATAATTAGAAGAATTATATTTCAGAAGATAAAAAAATTTCTAAATATAATAATTAAAATTTATTCTATCTAGGCTAAATACTTGTTATGAGCTGATTAATTTCTTGTATTTTCTATTTTTTGTCATTATTATTTGTTTGGGCGAATTGACTTAAAGTGTCATAACTCAATTATGAACAATCATAACATGAAGTAGATACATTGTAAAGTATATATAAAGCTTAAAGTTAAAAATATTTAAAACAGAATAATTTAAGTACAAAAAAGATAAAAAATTTGATTTAATTTACAAAATAAATTCAATTTAAGTTTTAAAATAAAAAGGGAGAGATTTTAAATGTAAGTTTTTACTGTATCGTTTCTTTATATTGAAACCAATGATTGCGAATTAAATCTTAAAAATCATATTACCTGTACTGGATAAAATTCACTAACCAATTACTTTTTTTTTGAGCCAGTGATGGCTGATCCTTTTTAAGTCATAGCTGTTGTGGCCTTCATATATGAGACTGATCAAAAGCTTTTAGGATACTATTATAACTATTATAAAGGAAAAGGTGAAAATTTCAATTAAATTTCAGAGATCTAACTGGATACAAAATGTATCCATTACAAAGTTTCATATATTTAGATCGTAAGTTTAACTAGGCTTTTGAAATACTAGATTAATGTATTTAATCAGATCTTAATAATCATTAATCCTTATGGTGTAAAGGTTATAATAT